GAACTAGAGTGAAGATCATAGAGGTTAAATACGAATTTCTGGAATGTCATTCGTTATTATAAAAGTTCCGAGAATCCATGGGATTCCGGGATTCCGGGAATCTCGGGAATCCCATGGGAATCCCGGGAATCTCATGGGAATCCCGGGAATCTCATGGGAATCCCGGGAATCTTGGGAACCTTGGGAATCCGGGAATCCGGAATCCGCCGTTTCCCCCTTGCGTTCGAGACTATCACAGAACTGAAAATACAATAAATAAATGATTTTTATTTTCGTCTAAATAAGAACACGTTCTTACTGCGAAAAACGTGTTTCTATGGAACGATCAAAACGCTTCTGAGAAGGTCGAACAAAGCGTCTTCACAACGCAGTCTTTTATCTCGATAACGCGTTCTCATTCGTTCTTTTTTTGAACTTGTTTTTCATGGACGTGACGCTGCCCACGTAACTTTCGAATGACTTCAAAATCTACGCCGAACGTTCACGTAATTTCCGAATAGTTCGCATATTACCGTGATAGTTTCGAGGTCACAAAATAGGTTACTTCCATCAAAAAGCACACTTCTGACAGGAATTGAGCTGGCAGCTTATTTAGAAACGATATAACTTTCTGGAATTATGTAGCAATTCTTCTTCGAAATTGAAAGTCTAGTTATCACTGATATTTTCTATATTAATTTAACAGTTTTTTAGATGAATATTTTCCGTATTTGGCTAGTTATAGGTTTTACCGTTTGTTTGACTCTACGTTTAGTGTTGTATCGAACTCCATGCAGTTATCATGACATCCCTGATGTACCTCGCTATTTTAAAATCCCAGTTGTTTTGTTTCACCCAAGTACTTTTCGTAAGAGTTTCGTGTGTAATTACAATAAGAAATATTTGGAATACCCTTGGATAAATAATCGATTACATCCAGCTAAAAGGCTAAAGCCTTATTGCTCACAAATTCCGAGTCCAACCAGTAGTTGGCAGAAAGCAGAAAACTACCAAGAAAATGACATCGCATTTATCATATACACCGGCGCTTCTTTCTATACGACACGTGCTACAAGCGTGCGGGAGACTTGGATATCACGGGTGACAAATTACTATTTTCTCGCCTCGAAGCCTTATCCAAGCCTACCAATCACTATTATAAAAAATACTGGTGAGGATTATCAATCAAACACGAAAAAGATCTTCTATGGACTCGAATCAATATTCAGACAACAAAAAGCAATTCATCCATCTAAACGTCACAAATGGTACTTTTTAGTTGGCTGTGACACTTATGTAAATGTACCACATCTTCTCAAGCAACTCGATCCTTATAATTTTACAGCGCCGTATTTTATTGGAGGTTCTGTTGGTGAAGCTATGTGTTTCCACAAGAATGGGGCTGGTTTCAAAAGTACTTTTGTTGGTGGAAATACGGCACATATATTAAGTGCAGCGCTTGTTGAAGCTGTGCATCCTCATTTATCCGTTTATATCGAATCGACCTGGCCTAAGCCTAATCATTCATCCTCTGGACTGTCTGATGTTGCCTTGTCTTGTCTCATCTTGAACTTGGGATTTAACATAACGATATTGCCAGGATTTTGGAGGCGCACCCCTCAGGGAATCAATGAGGAGTTTGGCTTAAAAGAAATTATGAAAGTTCTGGAACCAAGCTCTTGGCATTATATACATCCTGCACTAATGATTGATTTGGATGAATTTTATACATACCAATATGTTGACAGGCTAAAGAACGATCAAAAGTGGACTGAAATATTAGAGTTTATTTATCTTTTCATAGGTACACATTATGAAACTTTAAGGAAGCATCAGTCAAACGATACTGAGAAGCTAGTAAGAAAATATCGATAATGTTTCTGCTTGATAAGTTACTATCACAAGTAGCGTTCATCCGACACCGAAATTCGATTCCCTGGGCCCTAGACTGATAGGGCTTATCAATGGAAATGCGTCGATTGGGGAGAAAATCAGTTGTTTGTGTCAGAAGTAGATCGTGAAATTCCGAAAGGATGAGCGCACAATTTGAGTGAAGACCCGGAAGTGGCCGCATAAGTGAAAAGGAGACACAAATCAGACAAACATCAAAGATCTCCAAGGAAAACAACGAGAAAAAGTACCCAAAGACAGACCGAGAGAAAGCGAGGAGAACAGTGGTCGAATTAGAGTTTTGGACTAAGCAGTGAGGTTCTCAGTTCCATAATTCATGAGCAACATGTTTGAAAACTCCCGTCAGTCTGAGCACAAAGCTATTTCAGATGTGGGGATGAGAGATTAAGTATCACCTAGCGACTAAAACCTGTGATTCAGAGATTTTGCGATGACTGCGTCAAAATTCAATGGGGATCTCATTCCACCCCTGTTAGGGTTTCTCTTTCCCTTTCTCCTATCGATTTAGGTAAACGTGCTGATGATCTCTATGCACGAACTTTATTCTCTAATATAAACCAAAAGTTTACATAATATATATGTATAAAGAACGCAAGAAGAAAGAATACCAATAAAGATGAAAGAAGATAGAAGATAGAGAAGATAGAAGATAGAGAAGATAGAGGATTACATGAAATAGGGATGATGTCAGCTTGCGACATCACCCTAATAACCCCGTTCACTGGCTCTGTCCCAAGGAACGCTATCCAATGCGTGTTCCACCTCTGGATTAGGGGTGGCACTTTATCTTTACTTTACCGGTTAAAGTAAAGTTCACTGCTTTACTTTACCAGGTAAAGTAAAGTTCACTACTTTACTTTACTTTTTCAAAGTTAAGTAAAGATAAAGTGCCACCCCTACTCTGGATCCCACCGTGGTTTTGCCACCCAAAATGACCATTTGTACCACATACATGGTTAATTGTGCCACATAAATGGTAAATTGTGTCACAAAAATGGTGGATTCTGCCATGGAAATGGCGATTTGTGCCATGAATATTGTCCAGTAAAAGAAGAACCTTAAAAAACGCGTTAAAACTGGTTAAAGCTTCGTTATAACTCCATTTAAACGGTAGCGTATCGTAAAAACGGCGATTTTACGTTTTTAAACGGGTTTTTACGCGTTACGACATTTATGCATTAAATTATATAGATTGCTTTGGTAATTCTTTTTGCGTTTCAATCCGTTCATAACTCGAATTTAATATGGTTTTTCGTGTCATTTGTTCAGTGAGTTTTCGTTTTTTTTCAGAATTTGACTTCTTGAAGCTACACAATTCGTTCCTTGAGATTAGTAAAAAAAGTAGTATCTTTCCTAAGACAAACCAGCAGCTACGGGGATTTATTTAATGGGGATTTTTTGGGATTTATTGAGATGCATCTAATGAATCCCCGTATCGATTTTAATTTTGAGACTTATTAAGATTTTAAAGATAAAGTCAGATATTCATTGCTCTTTTAAAATTCATAAAAATCTTCTCTTTAACACTTGTTATATATTTTCACTCGAAATAAAACAATGCCTCTCTGAATGTGTGTATTAAGGAGATCTTTTTAGATTTCCAACTGCATATAAGTTCATATATATTTCATTAGTTATTCATTAATTGAATATTTTAAAATGAAATCGGTATTTATCTAGTCTTAGAATTTATCTATGAATTCATAGTTCCTAATGACTTGATTCCTCTAAAATAGAAACAAAAAGGCTTTCATGCATTTTTTTGATATGATAAAATGTTTAATAAAATAAATATATTGCAAAGATTTAATAAAGCACCAATAACAAACTGATTAACGAATACATAACCAAATAACAAAAATCATCATTATAATTGAAAAAAAAGTAAATCTATATGATTGCTAAATCGTATGATCTCAATACTAATAAATTGATGTAGCAATTTGCGTCACTTTATTGTTTAAAATGTTTAGCATTTTTTTTTAATTTGTTGGGGTATTTGTTCGACTTGAAGATCACGCTGGTTTGTTATACTTTTTGTTCGTCCTCTTTTATTTCTTTCTTTGAATGCATTTGTTCTTGTTGAATTTATTTTATCCGTAATTTTTGTCCATTTACAATCAGTAGAATCTTCAACTGTTGAAATTAATCTCGACGATTTTTGTTTGATATTACGTTGAATAGAGTCTGGTGTCCTAATTCTGTCGGGAAAAAAAACATCTTTAGTACTTCACTTACCATTCGAGTTATATTCATCGTACAGTAATATTTTTGTTTCTTTGCAGAATAGAGCAAACATTTCTCTATCGATTGGTATAAGATTAGTTGAAAAATACTTTATCAATCATTAAGGGGAAGCGTGAAAACGAGAGCAGGGTCAGTTTTTATCGATTTTTCGTGTGTTCCTAATTCTGCCGGCCCATGTAATTTTTTTTTCCTAATTCTGCCGGTTACATGGAAAATTCCATTAAAGTTTAGAGAAAGCTCATTATTTTTACTAAATCGATTGAATCTTAACTTGAAAAATATACCATTCGATTCGTCTCGTCATGGAGAATCGACTGGTGTGTTTTTTAAAGGGATTCATATATGTCTTTGTTACGGGCTGATGCCCTCACATACTATTATTCTCTTTTCATGTATTCTTCTTGCATCTCTAGTCATCCGCCACATCTATCGTCATATATATATATATACATATATATTCTTGTTGTCCTCTCNCCGGTCCATGCAATTTATGTTCCTAATTCTGCCGGTCCATGTAATTTATGTTCCTAATTCTGCCGGTCCATGTAATTTATGTTCCTAATTCTGCCGAGTTCATTTAAAGTTATCGATCGATTAAATATCAACACGTGACTGTTACCTCGACCTAAGAAAATCTTTTTTATTCTTTTATTGCCTGTACGCTCTAGGCAAAAACTATGTTCTTATACGAAATTGCAACAAAATAGGCTTAGTTAAACCTAATTTTTAATCATAGATTTTCAATTTACTTTTCAATAAATTAACTCAATGTGATTTTCTATATCGAAAAAGAACATCACAGTTTGTTCGAGTATAAAATGGATAAAAAAATCTTCTAATATAAATAAATTCGTATAAAAACAGAATCAGGTAGCTACGTAAATCAGTTTGATAAGATTTTTTCAAAACATAAAGTTATAAATCCATTCGTTCTTGGTCGTCAAGTATCAATTGAGTTTGATTTATTGCTAAATCCAATTGAGTTCTAACGTTTGATTCAAAGTCCATGTTGCTATCATTTTCTTGATCAGTATCAATTACAATTACATTGATCTTGTTTTTTCTTGTTGAACGTCTAGAATTTCCAATAGTTTTCGTTTTTTTTGGTTATTTTTTTTTGTTCATAGTCTTCTCTTCAATCATTTTTAAAAAGTCTTCATCAGTTATATTGATACCAGTTGTATTGTTTAACGTTGATGCTCTCATTGTTGTTGTTAGTGGTGCCGTGGTGGACTGTTGCTGCAGCTGTTGCTCCTGAAGTAAACCTACAAGGACTTCACGTACAGCATCGACAGCTTCAACTGGTTTCTTGTGTTGTTGTTCTTTAGTTGATTCTAAAGAAAATGTATATATGTATTTTTAACAATAATGCACTTGAATTACTCGGCAATAAAACAGGCGATGTTCGTTGAACATTTGTTGTCATTGATTGCTGATTCGAATTGGTTTCGGTTTGAAAAACCGATGCATTTAAATCAACCGTATTCAAAACGGCATATGTAGCTTCACTTGATGATGGCATTTCATCGTCATCAATATACGTAGGTTCAATTGGTTTAATTTGCTGGATATTAAATAATACTTGATCTTTTCGTCCATTTGTTTTATCAATGGTCATAATATCTGAATTCAATTTTTCATTGGTCCGATCAATATTAGATAAATTCATAGGTGGTGATGATAATGACGTGACAGATGATGAAGGAGCAAATGAAGCACTTGTAGGTGGTATAAGAATATTTGTTGGTATCGGTGTTGTGTTGATGATTGTTAATGTTGATGATGAAGAGAATGGAGTCGCTACCACTTTGTTCATCATGGCATTTTCATTAAATGGCCATATACCTATCAGAAGTAGAAAAAAATTATGAATTGCTAATAAATTAAATATTTTTTAATTTTGTTATATAATATGATCATCTTGTGGGTAGTTATATAGATTTTGTTAAATATCATACAGAGAAATGAGTTGATATTGCTAATAGAATGCATCGATTTTATGCTACATCTAAATCTAAGTGCTACTTATTGAGAACATCACGCTTACCAGAACGAGAAAACGACGATACAATTCGAGTAGTAGAAAAAGCTTGTTTTTCAATAAATAATTGTTTCATTAAACGAGGAATATCAGCATTTTTAATGGTTTTATTACCACTTTTTAAGTAGTTGCTTACAATGCTTGACCAATCTGTTTTCACGTTGTTAAATAAAACAACATCGATGGGTTGCAATCCATGTGTACAATGTGGAGGAAGAATTAAGCACACAATACGATTGTGTTTCAACAATTGAATAACATTTACATTAATATGGGAATTATGCCCATCCATTATAAGTAAAAGAGGTCTATTAAGATGTTTTGTAGCAGGAATAAACATTTCTCTAAGCCAAAATTCAAATGAACACGAGTCAATCCAACCCTAGTTTAAATAGAAACAGATCATGATATAAGGACACCATTTTTAATTACTTTTTTTGTAATGGCATAACGTGATCCATCAGGGCCACCTCGACACCACGTATTCATCAATGTTTTACCAGAATAAATAATAAAAGGTGAAATCACTTGACCAGCTGCACTTATTCCAATCAATGCAGTAGTATATTGTTTGCCACTTCCACCATTTTTTTCAAATACATGACGAGTAGTTGAAGTGACAATAACATGTTTACCTAAAATCATTCATACAATCAAAGAAATAAAATTTACTGATAGATTTACGTTGGGTTTTATCACAGAACCCTGTTTCGTCACAATTAAAAATCTGTGCAGGCTTGTCCAATAAATCGAGTTTAACCAGTGTTGCTTTCAAAAGAGAAAACCATGACTGACGAGTTTCTTCTGAAAACTTGTTAGCTCGAATGTTTTCAAGCTTTTCTTCCTTTTTCCATTTTATTTCCATCCTATATCTTTTAACAAATAATCTTAAGCATTTACGACCAGGCTTATAAGACAATCCGATAGACTTAAAATAATCAGTAGAAAGTTGTAATGCAACATTAGCAGTAATTCTAAATCCATATTCCGGCAACAGCTTCAACAAAGAAACGAGATAATCTTCTTGTTGGTCGTTTAAATAACGATTACGACCAGCACCAATTTTAATTAATTTATTTTGACGATGAGAACGGATCGTTCTCTCTGGAACATTAAAGTTTTTTGATGCTTCAATTGAGCTTAAATCACTGTTTATGGCATCGATCAATTTTTGTACCGGATATTTCATCACCAAAACCAGATAGAAATACACAACACGTAATTTAAAACCGAGAAAAATTGTAAAACACTGTACAGGCAATACTTTGAATAGGCTAAAATTTACTCGGCTAACATATTATCACGAACAAGTATTGAATACGCAAAACACGAAAGAAAAAACGTCTTCCCAGAAAGAGGGCGTTAACTAACAGATATATATTGATATTGGGCAACTTCTAATAAAAAAACGAAGTTAATTTATTGAAAAGTACATTGAAAATCTATGATTAAAAATTATGTTTAACTAAGCCTATTTTGTTTCAATTTCGTATAAGAATATAGTTTTTGCCTAGAGCGTACAACCCAGGTCGATCGTTCCGGCCACCGGATTGTGCAGGAACCTGCAGGAAACAGCCGGAAAAATCTCCGGTTCCCACAGGAAAACACCGGAAATCAACGGAACGTGGAAGCAGTATTCCGGTCGGAAGTTTTTCGGACATTTTCCGGATGACTTCCGGCCAGTTCCTGTCGGAAAGAACAGGAATTCGCTGGAATTCGCCGGAAAAAAGTCCGAAAATTTTCCGGCGGTAATACTGCTTCCACGTTCCGTTGATTTCCAGTGTTTTCCTGTGGGAACCGGTCCGTACTCTTCGACCTGGGAAGCAATAAAAGAATAAAAACGATTTTCTTAGGTCGAGGTAACAACCACGTGTTGATATTTAATCGATCGATAACTTTAAATGAACTCGGCAGAATTAGGAACATAAATTACATGGACCGGCAGAATTAGGAACAGAAAAAAATTCTTTTAACGACGTTTTTTTCTTGTGGCAAGAAAAAACTATATAATACATATCTGAATCTCTTTAAAAAACATACCAGTCGATTCTCCACGACGAGACGAATCGAATGGTATATTTTTCAAGTTAAGATTCAATCGATTTAGTAAAAATAATGAGCTTTTTCTAAAATTTAATGGAATTTTCCATGTAATCGGCAGAATTAGGAAAAAAAATTACATGGACCGGCAGAATTAGGAACACACGAAAATCGATAAAAATCGACCGTGCCCTCGTTTTCACGCTTCTCCTTAATGATTGATAAAGTATTTTTCAACTAATCTTATATCAATCGATAGAGAAATGTTTGCTCTATTCCTCAAAGAAAAAAATATTACTGTACGATGAATATAACTCGAATGGCAAGTGAAATACTAAAGATGTTTTTTTTCCGGCAGAATTAGGACACCAGACTCTATCCACAATTGAAAAATGAAAATCAATGGCAATCAATTGATAATACAAAAGATTCCATGAAAAATATTAATGTCAAAGAAAATATTAATCAAATCTCAAAGCATGATACACCTTTGCTTCATAATGTTGTTTAAAAGAATTTTTAATATCCTTTCTTTGGTTGAGCGCATTGATTAGTTGCAGAGTTTGTTTCATACGATTAAATGTATTGATTTTCTAAAATTTTCGCCTTTGTATGACTCATTACTAACAGACAATAATAAATATAAATAATTTACAGTTTATATAGCATAGTTTACATACCCTGCATCACGTATTACGGAGTTTTCTTTCTCCGCTAAAGTTAATGTCCGTTTACAATTTATAACGTAATAAATACGTACATTTATATAGTATATGTGTATGCAAAAAGCAAGTCACTCAAAGTAACCATGCTAGTCAGATTTGGATACGATGGATTATTAATCTGATGCAACTTGACTGACTTAATAGTCTCTTAATATCAAATATTTTGCGTGGTTTCCTCTTGACTTTGAATAGTTGTTCATTCTCCTTCATATCACTTGTTTTCAACTGAATATGAGATAAATTATTCATTTTATACTCTTAACATTCACTATAACGAAAGTTTGCTTAAGATTTTATGTGTTTTTCTCGTTAATATTCTATCCCATTTCAGAACGATGATGAATCTCAGCAATTGTTTATTATTTCCTTGCTATTCAGATGTACTTAACAATTTCTAGTTTGACTTTGAGAATAGAAGAAGAATTATACTGAGTAGAAAAATGAACTATTGCGTAAAGAAAATAATATTGAATAGACTCAATTTTTCAGAATACATCGACAAATACAGAAAACCAATTAGTTGTATCAGATGTATATATTTATTTTTGATTTCCAAATCTTTCTTTTTGCATCACAGAAATATTTTTGACTATATAAGTATTTTTAATATTTGCAATGATTACTGCCTACTGTAAACTAATAGTACGTTCAACTTGAATCATATCTGCAAAAAACTCATCAATCACAGTTTTTGCAATATTTGCCGAAAAATATACGATGCTCTTTTACTTTTTTATATTCTTCGATATTTTTCCAAGATATGTTCAACAAATGTTTATGATCAAGCGTTTATTGTATCTAATAGCAAGATAATTTGAGTATTACGTCATTTTACACCCGAATGGAAATAGATTTTATTACAAAAATAATATCCAATACATTCTGTTTCGCAATACATTTGTTTTTTATATTAAACTAAATCTATATGTTAAAAGAGTTTCTCATTTGATCAGTTTTACAGACTCTTTTCCTCAACCGTTCTAACATGATATTCTATGTATATATCAAATGCCTGTGATGCACTATTCACATATTCTAGTATACGAAAATACTCTGTGCATATATATCGGATTTTCGTGTGGCTATATGAATTCTAAAATAATGAGAAACTATTGAAAATAAGAAAGAAAGGTAAAAGAAAAAACCTACTCGAAAACCAAGTGAATAGTCATAATTGAGGAAATAGAAAAGTTCTGTGACCACGAAAAATACATTCGAATTATGAATTCTACTGATACATATCCATTTTGTATCAGAAAAAAACACTTTATGACTCATGTATTTCAGCTAGATTGTAGAAGAGCGATTGAATCAATTTTAGTTCAAATTCTTATTTTCATCGACAACAGGTTTAACAGGTAAACAATTTCGATCGTGTAACTGTACGTTGTGTTACCATCTATTATTGATTTATCGCTTATGCTAAGGATTACCTATTATAAAAGTTTATATCAACAAAAACTTAAACTCTATCTTAAAGTTTTTCATGTCTTTACAAAAAATATAACTTGTAAACTGTATGTATGCATCTAATTGAACAATTTGAAGTGAGCATCTATATCAAGCTGATGTAGTTGTATGCTCAATTCGATCTTGAGTAACTGAGGACTGAGAATCTTAAAATAACTTTTCACACCATCAGTACAATATGAGCTTAAACAAAAGCGTATCAGCTAATCTTTTTTTGTACCATAAGAGTATAATGGTTTTAACAAATAATTTTAAATTGATTTGTATATTATTGTGTCTTTAATAGAAAAAGAGCTGATTTTAGTTCATTTTCAGCTAAATATATTTTTAACGGGTCTGTTTTTCAGTTTACTTGAAACTAGAGCATACGCTTTATCAAATACAAGTTCTCCAGTCCGTTTTGTAAAAGTAATTCAAAATTAATATGTGATTACCGATGCCTATTAGCCAATAGGAGGGTGTGTAATGAATTATTCTATTAAATTCTTCATAAGCTTTTCTTTCTCAGATATCTAAAACCTCCATTTCTCCTAAAGATAATATGTACTTGCTTCAAATGGTTGAATAGATAGTCAATTGATCTTGTCAGCTATCTTACTCTTCCAATGTTTAAAAAAAACAGAAACCAGCGTTGCAATATAAAATGCGAGTCAAAACATTAAAAAAGATACAAATTAGTATCAACAAATATTTATTTATACACAGACAATGTTCAGTAACCAATTTGCTTGATGTAATCGCTGATTTTTAGTATGAGAATGCACGTGTACCACAATACGGCTGGTATTAATGGGTAAATGAAATGCACGTGCTAAGGGACCACTATTACATAGGCTATATTTTAAAACTCGATCACGCAAATTAAGAGCCTCTTGATCTTGAAAAAAAGGTCCATGAGAAAAAAGAACACCGTATGCATTTCTTAAGTTATAAGGTTTATCATTGAGTGTACCGTAGAGCTCTGGCGTTAGGACGCTTTCCATCACTATGTGATCAGATGTACACACTTCATTGTCGCTGCATGCCATCTGTGATTGCTGAAAGACTTCAAGACGAAAGCTGGTAGAAAACGTTTCCATACCATTCGGTGCCACTGAAAATACGATAGGTAACGGAGATGCTGCGGTAGCAAAACTCAATCCACGCAGTTGTGGCATGTTAAATACATAGCCAGCAGATTGCCCAAGGCCAAGAATAATCCAGAGGATAGCTCCGATAGTTGCAAGCGTATACCGTTGTTTGTAGGCATGCCTCGTCTTTTGTTTGACTGATAAGAGCACATCGCGGCCGCAAATCATTTCCATGACCCTATTCTCGTATTCAGATGGAAAGCCAGTTGGTTGATCCATTGTCACTGGATTCTCAAATGTTCCACCTAGAATATCCCACAACGGTAGATCACCATAGTTTTTGCTATGATCCCGTTTATTACGTAAATGATGAATTCGATGAGCTTCAGGACGTTGAAAGAAATAGCCAATCCATTGTGGTGTCTTAATATTCATATGATAAACATATTCACCAAAAGCAGCAAAGCCCGACAGCCACATGCTCGATTCTCTCGAGAGACCAAGTATAGGGTAGAGTAATATCGTCATAATAATTGAGTCTACTAGGATTTCTTGAGGAGCTTTATAGAAGGATGTTATGGCTTCAATTCGTTGTGCACTGTGATGCAGTTGATGAAACCATAGCCATAAAAAATAAACGTTGTGTCGCGCACGATGAAACCAATAGAACACCCACGTATGAATGATATAAGCGATAATACCACCCATCATCGGTGAAATAAAGTCTCGCAAATGAAATAAATGTGCATCGGGCAACCATGCCTCCCACGTGTAAGTACCAACGACAACTACTAACAGTTGATACGCATTGATAAGTAGAACGCGTTTCCACCAGCCAGGCACATACACCAGTGGTTGATCGGGAAAGAGACGTTCCAACACCATCAAACATCCTAATCCACTACCTATTATTAGTAAGCCAAGCAACATTTTTTTCTTTATCTCTTAAAACAAATAAAAATAATTATTAGAATGTGATTGAGCACATGTGTATTCATTAAAAAAATTACATTGAATTTTCACGATTCAATCATTAAATGTAAGTTTCAATAGTACCTTTAGTCGTAGTTGCGTGCAAAAAATAGTTATGCTAAAAATAAAATGAATGTAACGATGACAAAATGCACACACATCTACTTTTACATAGTATAGACTTTGTTCTGATGGAGGCGAAACTTGTTTTTTACTGCTACTCGTTCAATTACGACTGATGTGTGCAATTACATTGATTATTTTTCTCATTCTTCTTGAGTTCTACAGCATGCAACATACGTGGCGAATGACATTTCGCAAATGATTCATACATCTATATGATGTCATTCTCATACACACTTCATCTACTTATAGTATGCACGTTTTCTTTTCTAAACATAATGTGTGTTTTAGTTTCTCTTTCTGCTTAACTTACTCATAGCAACATGGCATCATCATCATCGACAACGTGTACGAAATGGTACACTGTACGTCAGTTGAAAATTTTTCAATTCATATTTGGATCGTATCTAACGATTCATTTCATAAACTTAGTTCCGTATGCGAATGAATTATTCGGTCGTACTGGTATGATTGCTGATCCACAGTGGAATCCAACCTATGGTTACTTTCCAAATATTATTCATTGGATTGATTATTCTCCTAAACTTCTTAGTATTTTCATTATTTTTTTGGCATTTTTATCAGTTGTGTTTGCCGCGCGGCTTTTTACACCACGTGTTATTGCCCTTTTACTATGGTATGGATGGGCATGCCTCTTAAATCGTAACGTACTCATTTTGAACCCTGGCATCCCCTACGTTGGTTTACTTCTCTTAGCATTCAGTCTCATCAAATTTACAAATTCAGATAAAAATAGCACAGAAAATCATGAAGTTAGCATCAGTCCAGAAGTCTTTCCATGGCTCTATTGGGGAGGATGGACTTTATATGCATTAGGTTATACAATAAGTGGGTTACATAAATTACAATCACCTAGTTGGATCGATGGTAGTGCATTGAGTCACGTCCTAAAATCTCCATTATCGCGCAACAATCATTTATGCCATGTCTTACTTGAAGCAAACCCAATAATTCTTCAAATATCTACATGGGCATCGCTCTTTGCAGAAATTTCGTTTGTTCCTCTAGGTCTCTTTTACCATGCACGTAAATTGTACTGGTTTGCTTTCCTTGCTCTTCATTTAGGCGTTTTGTTACTCGTCAATTTCACTGATCTCACATTCGGAATATTAGCTATGCATTTCTTTCTATTTGATCCTCGTTGGTTATTTTGAATAAACATTTTAATCTTTTTTTGAAATAAAATAATAATCTGATGTATGATTAATGATTGGCCTCAGCAAAACAACTATTAGTTTTTCTGCATCTGAAATATATAGATTGAGACAGCTTCCCGAATAACTTGTATACTGCGATGAAGAAGATCAAGTAATAATAATATATTTTGACAATTCGATATCATAAGAGGGAATGTTTTCCGTATAATTCATTCTGTAATAATTGTCTAGTTCTCAACTACTTGAATGAAAAACAAAAACTGCTCTATATGATAGGTTCATACGATTCATACTATCTTTTGAAGGATTAATCAAAATTATATTGGCCTCTTATAAATTGCTTGTGTTAGACCGATCTGTTTCAATTTTTCGCATTGAAGCAGTCAGCTATTATTCCTTTTTTGGCGCTCATTTTCCGTTCAGTTCTTGTTTTTTGCATTCAATTGGTCGATATTGGGTTAATATTTGATGCATGAAGTAAACGTCTCTTTGAAAAAGAAATATCTAACCTTTTTCTATGTGGCGACTTGAAAAAAGAAGCAATAAATTCGATTTCTGAGAACATTTCAATACATATTCAATTGAAGATAAATCAAAAATTATGATTTATCTACATAATCTTCACGAATAGAAGAAATAAGTATGCTAATGATATAGATTTTCGTCGGAAATCAGCGATTATTATTAATGAGTACAATATGAATACAAAATTTATGTGGTACTCCGTTTCATCATCATGATAAATCGGTTTTAATCAAAATTAAATTCATAATTTAAACGATTTTTTGAATATTTGTTTTTATCTACAGATGAAAAATAACATACTGAATGAACAAAAAAACTTATCCAAACACTATTCAAAATAGAACAATCTTATCATTCTACTTTCAACAAATCAAGTCTCTCTTCATTTTAACATTTGCTTTATTCATTTGTCGTCGTTTTTGATTATTATTATTGTACTCAACATAATCGCCCGATTCATTGTTTTTACTGACGCCAGTATTTCAGTAGTCCTCTTAATCATTTTCTTAATTTAATTCATAGCCATAAATTGATCTGTCTCTGCACTCATCGTTGAAGAATAGGATAGTTTTTGTTGTTTTTCAGTTTCTTGTTGAATCATAGTTTCTTGAATTCCAATTGTTAATCCCGAACTAAGACGAAGTATATAAGGTGTGACTCCATTTGGTATATTTCCAAAATCGACCATAACTTTAATGAACATAACATTTTGGTAAACATATGAATTATTTTCTTGTTAATATATTGTTAAGGGAGCAAACTTTGGTATTCCACTGGCGATGTTCATATTGAAACGTGGTCGTTGAAAACTATTTGATCTTACATCTGGTCGAAATGAATCAATAATATGATTTTGTTGATTACTTTGATCATAGAAACAAAATATTACTTTAAAGCAGAACGGAATGTGAGGATATCTTCATATTCACTACGCATAAGAACGAAAAATAATGATAAATGCGTTTTCTGAGCAGTTCCATCACCATTCAAATAAAGTCGAAGACTCATTTAATAATCGGTACGTGAAGAATAAAAAGCGAGAACAAATTGATGGTTGTGCTCTGGATTGAACCGCTGCTTAAATGAATAAATCAAAACTCCTAGTCACTTATGAAATTATTTTATGATAAGACTTATTGAATGAATAAAAATCCGTGAGAATTGCTAAGATTACTTTTATTTCGATGTTTAAAAAAGTATTATTTGTTTTTTCTCTTCGATAGGAAAATAAAAAATAAAAAATTCGAACAATATTCATATGTACTTTGTAGTATTGAAAGAATTATTTAAAACTTGAAGACAGTTCTTTCTTTTTAATTAAAGTATGATTCACTTGCTGTTTTTATTCAACTTTGCACAGGATTCCACTTATCCAAAAATAAAATTCAAGTTCAGAATCTACAGCTAATATACATGGAACAAACGAGGAGTGTCTTCAATGATTATATAGATATTTATTTGGCAACAACAAAATATATAAATATAGAATAGAGTAGATGAAAAAATCTGATATCATGACAAATTTACTCTAATTTTATTCAATCACAAATAACTATTGCTAGTTACAATGTAATACGTATTAATTTCTATATCGAAATTGCATCTGAACGAATTTGGATTTTATTCAATTTTTTAAATCGGAAATAATTTGAATTTCTCAACTAAAAGAAAATCATTTAGATGCTTCTCATGAAAATAAAACATTAAAATTAGTAATTACAATCCTAACCTATTTTTTCTTCGACATTAGTTATTCTCCATGTATACGTTCCATCACATGAATTTCTATTCATATCATCAATTTTTTTTAATAATCGATGGAATCTCTCGTTCAATCGTCTCTTGTTTAGATTTGATATCATCTATAGAAGGACGCTGTTCTTCAATGGACTTGTGAACTAGAGATGATTCTTGAATAGAAGTCTGTAATCTATTACCGAGTTGATCACATTCAGTGCTAAGAGATTCTAGTTCGTCAACTAAATTTCCAACACCATCGGATAAAATGTTAATTGTTTGAGAAACTTCTTTTAATTTATCAATATTTTGGTATTTCGGTAAGAATCCTTCAGAAGATATTTGTCCGGACGAATTGATAAATTTAATAACATTCGAAGAACGACTTTAGTTAAGACTTTTTGATGTTGATCACTTAGATAGTATCGAGAGAGATGGATACGAGGAATCTAGATGATAAAAAATTTTCAAAGACCAAAAGAAAAAAACTAAATTTAACCATTTCTTCACATCGGATTGATTGTAAAGGACACTGAACAGTTATTTTTTCACAATCGTACAGTTTGTGTCGATCAAGATCGTTGACTGAATTGAAATTTAAACTGCAAGGATCGCTTTGAGGACTTGGATGGTTTTGATCCAGATGATTCGTTAACATATATTCGACTAATAGGAAAAAAATAAGCAAAAAAGATTTACTTGATAGATCTTTAATATGCCAACCCAAGTGCCAAATGAACATACAATTGATAATGTCTGCATATCATTTTTTAAAACCTCGATCAATTATTAGCTTAACAAGAAATGATTTTTTATTGAAAGAGAGAATATCAATCTTACATTTTCACGTGGTGTTTTTTCGCAACATTCAGAACATCTAATCAATTTTCTTTAATAAAATAAAATAAACTTTTAAAATTTAATCTAAAAAGAAACTTAGCCAGTTTGTTCATTAGCACATGATTGACAAAGTCGATGGCCGCAATCAATTAACTGTACAGGTTCTCGAAGAACTAATGAACAAAAAATGCATATATGAAAGGATTCTACAATCTAGATTTTTTGCATTGAAGCCAACCATTCTCTATATTCTAAAATGAAACATTGATATGAAAAGAGAATGCATCAATCTAACAATCAGAACATGCAGCAGATAAATGTCTAATTAGTATAGATACTTCTCATCAATAGATTTAGAGAAAAACAAATGATATATCTCCAATATAATCATTATCAAGAAAGCAACGTCAAGCTTTGACTAACTCATTTTCTCTTATCTTTCGATGTGTCACGTATATCACATGACCTCTGCTACTTGCTTTACAACGGTTAAATGGCTATAAATATAGTAGAGTTCATAGGGGGATTTTCAATAACAAAACCAAAATTGATAAGAGATTTGCGGAAACGAATGAAAGAACGAATGATTAAGTTTTTTTCTATATGACTATAATAAAGGATAATTTTGTCACAGAGAACATAGAAATGAAAAGAATTTTATGCGAAAAAAAGACAAAAAAAAGACAAAAAAAAAGACGAACTACAGATTAAGATACTTTTAATTATTTAAAAACGAAACTTTCAATATAAAAAAAAAAGATCAAGTATTTTACCCCTTGTTAAATATTAAAAGAATATTAAAACTGATCTAGAAAATATTTGACAATAGAAATACAAGACCTTGCATGTAAATTTTAAAAATTCATTGTAAATATCACAAATACATTATAACTGGAATGAAAATCTAGCAAACTACGCGAGTCATCGAATTTATTTTAAAGTGGAAAATATAAAAAACAATGTTGAAATAACTTTTATAGCAATTACACAGCAGTATCGTAATTCCTACAATTTTCATTCAATGCTATAATAACTATCTCATTTCTATGTAATTTTGACAATATAACATGAATCCTTTGATGAATATATTTTAAAGAAATCTAATTATTTTCAGTACGCACTTTGACTCGTGTTGAGTTTGTGTATGTTACAGATAAGTTGAGTCACTTAAGAGATACTCATGATTATAAATGTCGTAATTATGTATTCGAGAACTTACTAAAAATGTATATAGCAGAAAAAAAGAAATGAAACATAAGTTACAGTGAAGGTCAGAGAAAGGCAAAGAAAAGAAATAGTGTTAATTCGAAAGAACAAACAATGAAGAAAGAAAATCACCTGGTAGTCAAAAACAAATAGAGCGAATAAATTCGATGTAATATATTATGATGTTGCAATCCTCCGTATGCGATTATATCATTTGCATTTTGAACTGTATATTGTTATTTCAAGGTTTATTTTTGATCCCATATTTTCAAATTTTGTTTAAAGTGTAACTCAGTTGTGTTAATTTATTGATATCATTTGCGCATAAACCCATATATATATATATATACTAGAATCGCATCAAATAGGCCAAAGCTCGATGTTAAAAAATAGAAATTTTTCTTTCTTAAATACTTTCTTAGATGTTTTCCAAAAACTTTATTTAAAAATCTTCTAGTCGAAGCTTCCAGTGATAATTCAGATCGTCAATTTTGAAGAAAAAATAACAGTCCGAACTTTTACTATATCATGAATGCAAAGTTATATAGAATTGAACTCCGCTAACTCTAATGTACGACAAAATATGACAAGAATAGTAGTGATATATGGAAAATTATATAGAAAATCGAAATTTTGAAACAAGTGTATACTATTGGATTGCAAGCAACTACGGAATCTAACGAAAAGTAGCTGCAAACTATAAAGTCTACCTAGAAATAGAACTTTATCATAGTAAAACACATAGACCAGAGAGAGAGTATAGAGTAAATTTTAGATTTTTTATTTTGATACTAAGGTATTTTTCTTCAAGAAAACACTGTGACTATCATGAAACGTAATCTAAATGGAAAATAACTAATTCATTCAAAAATTGTTTGAGTAATAAATGATTGAAAAATTCAGTTCAGTAACAAACAACCAAATAAAATTTCTACTTTACTATTAAAAGAAATAACATAGAAACTAAATAGTCTTTTTTAAAGATACTGAAGCATTTCAGAATACGAAAATAACCTTTATGAAATTCATCTAGAATTTGTTTTTCATTTTCATTTTGAAATATCTTTGCGTTTTTAGACAACATTTTTTAAAATTTTTGTGGAATGCTTCTATGAGAATAATGAAATGCATAATTTACAATTGATATAAAAACAGCAACTAAATAGAGTTTTGCGAGGGTATGACCTACACTTTACCTCTAAAGGAAGGAAGGAGTATGCCTTTATTAATTTTCAACTTCAGCTTTTATTGGGCATTAGAACCGAGCAGATTTCAATTCCTATATAGGTTCTGTTATGGTTACTTGTTTGATCATTTTTTTCCTACATCACTAATATAAAATATGTTTTTAAAATGATGTATTCTTGAATTATTGCATCCCGAAGATATTTCATCGAATTTTTATTCAAATAATTTAGTTTATGCCAATAAACGAAAAAGAAAAACAAATTATCCTTTGGAAAGGTGAGTTCAGTTCAGTCTAGTGTTGGAATTTGGTCATATGTGCTGGATCGTCCGTCCTAGATATTCATTCCAATGAAAATGAACATAATGATTGAGCAGAAATAAAAGAATTACTTATTGCATCGGGAGCCGAATTGGCATGCTACCTTTTTGCAATGAGGATCTGTCGAACCGGTTGGATGAGCAAATCGTAAACGATGATCCACTGCTTGACTTTAATAAACCAAGAATGATATAAATAATGCTTTATGAAAAAAAGTCCTTAGTAAAAATGTTTTTGTGTGCTACAACGTTTAAAACAAGAAGATTGCATAGTCGCCAGACTTTGATCATAGATCGATTATATGATGCTATGGTTTATTTTAATTGAATCGAAACAAGATACTTCTATATATTTTCATATAGATTTAGTGTGTTTTGAATTTCTTCTCTGTGCCAGCTACGTTCAATTCTTGTCTTGTTTCTTCACAAGAAGTCTTTGAAGAGTTACTAATGAAAAATATTTCAAAGTTTACAAATTTTTTTCTAACAAAAGCGAGGAAAAATCGTGATATTTTCAATTTATCCTTTGTATTCACTTTCATTAACCTAGAAAACTTCTCAATTTTATACAAGATTTTTGTCACAGTTTTTCTTTCATTTGGCCTTTTACATCATACATAATTCGTTTGGGATTTGAATATTCGACTGTTGATAAACTACGCTGTGTGTATTTATCGTTTAAAAAAAATATATATATTACCAAGCGAATCCTGAAACTAAAATTTGAGCAATTCAATGAGCTAAAATTCAACTTTCTAAAGCAACTCTTAAATAATCTTCATACACTCCGTTTTCAATGGAAACAGACAAATAATAGTTAAATAGAATTTCAACATACTCATAACAACTTTCTCCGAAACGACATTGACGCTTTGTGGATTGAACGTGGTTGTTAACGCCTATAGCAAAGCGATTTGAATTATTTGGATGTGCATATTGTTTAAGGTGTTCCGGTTCCGTGCTTAAATAAAGAAGCAAGCTAGCTAGTTATGGTCCAGTTTTCATGAAAATGATGCTTTTCATTATCAAGAGATCCTATTGTTAATTTTTAGTACGTTTTTTCTCTGTTAATTTTACAACATATGTACCATGCAGAAAAATGCTGGCTCCTCGCAGAAATTGTGAGTTGTTGTTAGAGTTAGATAAATGCAAAGTAATTGTTATACTATCTCAGTTATCTGCTCATCAAGTGCATCTGATCCGAGAAGGTTATCAATGAAAATTGTAGATTGCATGAAAAAATTAGAATCATCTCTCGTTAAAATATATTTCATACACTAGATGGATACAATTACTAGATGTTTATGAAAAATTTAACAAAAAGAGATGATCGTCAACATTTGAAGCCCCTAGCAAATGCTTTTGTTTCGGTGACGAGCATAGTCCATAAAAAAGAGATCAAAAAACATTAATGATGAAAGATTCTCTGTCATAATCTAAATTATTTGCATCGCCTTTTAGATTTCGAACGTAGTGATTGTGGCGGAAAACGTTTCGTGAAAATTAGAGCAACACAAATAGTTTAATAGAAATTCAACATACTTGTAACAGGCTACTCCGTAGCGACAATGTGGTTTTGTGGACTGTCCATGACTGTTGGCACTCATTGTATGGGGAGTTGAGTTAGCTGGATGTGCATATTTATTTAAATGATCAGCATCTTTCCTTATAAACAGAAAACAAGGAAATATTTCTTTCATGTTCATAAGATCTGCTTAGATCTTCATATTATTCACGCCATAATCTGCGGATACAGCTCAAAAGATGAACTTGTAATTGATAAAAACTAGCTCAAATAATTTGAAATAAGTATCTAATCAATTACTCGTTGTGTTTAACTTTCAGTGGTACGAAATTAATCCTTTTGTGCAAATAAATAAAACACTTTAAAAAAACAATCCGCGTACCGAAAGCAATCTGATCCGTAGCGACATGCCGGCTTGTCAAATTGACTATTTGAAGCGCTTCTTGACTCATGATAGTCAGCATCACCTATATGTGCAAATTCTTCATGATGATTAGTGTCATCTCTTCAAGAAGTGTAACACAAAAATGAATTATGACTAACAAAACCCTTTTTGTTTATATACGATACCTATTACAATCAGCACCAAATTTACATGAACGACGTGATCCCGCTATTAAAATATGTAAACAAAAATATGCAATTAAAATTATCGATTAAATTGACACACTATTCAAATATATTGCAAAGATATTTTCCATTTCTCCTTATGAAAGAAATATATGTGTTTATTTCATTTATCTTCCAATACCAACAACAGTTTCTTATCTATCTTTCAAAAAATTAGCTGTATATGTTTTACAAATTGCAAAGTTACAGTTCAAATTTTTCTTTGAAAATAAGACCTATTTTGTTAAATTTTAAAAATGGCATCAACAATCCTTTGCATACCAATTGAGTTATGTAAATAATAAAATTAAAACTAAAATAAATTTGTTGTTAAGAAGATTGAACAAGCTAAAAGTCACTAGTTTATATTCAGCCGAATGACCCTGTTTATAGTTACATGAAAATATTATCCATTTGCAACTTTCTGAGAGTAATATTATATAACAGAGTACTTAATTACTATAATTCTAATGCTTACATCTTTTTTTTGCTACTGATGGATCTGATCTGTGAACGAAATGACCCGGTCGAGAGAGTTTAGCTAAAAATAGAAATAGAAAATACATTATTCATGGGACATTTCTTTCGATAATAAAAAACACTATGAACAAAATAAGAGCTGATCAGTGTCATTACTTTTGTAAAAGTATGTAGAGTTCTATTGAATGTAGATGATTTAATTATTAGAATTCATTAAAACATTGTATTCATTAGTGTCTGATTTCCTTTTAATATATTCCAGCGTAAATTTTCTTCAAATCATTGACAACTTATAAAAAGAAACTGAAAAAGAACTATTAAATTCATTTTAGTTCAAATTTTCAGTTGACGAATACTTTCTATACTCATTACAACATATGCATAACGAACTAGCAATAGTATTACGTATTAAAAACGTAAGTGCCTTCAATAGTTTTCAACATATACATGTTACATAAACTAACATTTCTACTCTGCACTGTTGTTTTATCTACAAATGAGAGAACTTCTTGAGATACTAATTTTTTTCTCGACTTAAATTAGATTCATTCAATCGATCATTTAGAATGAGTATTTGAAAGTTTCATGTAAAACATTGATATTTGCTAGTGTCACTTGTTCTATGAAAATAAACATGTAAAGAAGATTGTAGTAAGTTTTTTACGTCTCTTGCTTGTATCTATTATCGTTTGAATATCATTAGTTATTAGAATTTTTCAAATATACATATATATCAGAGAGATCTTTCTGCAACAGCTTCCGCTTCGTTTTTCAAGTCGAGACTTTTTACCTGTCATTGTAAATGGTGAAATCGATGTGAAAATTTGTTTTTCAATATAGTTCAATATTTAATGACAATTTTTTCAAGACGAATATGTCTCACGATTTTGAAAAAGTAAATTTGAGAATATTACATATTTCAAATTTTCATCAATTTTCGCAAAGAAGTATGTAATCTTTCATCGTATCTGTTCACTAGTGCTGCTAAAAGAAACAATGGGATTCGTTTTCATATAACAAATGCTGCCAATAAAGGAATACACATCGAAAAAATGGACAAGACTATGTTGATTCATGAATCTCAAATCTGAAATTGAGTTACCAATTTGAGGATGAAGAAATTCATGTAATTGAATATCTCAAAGAGTTGTTTTTTATTGAGAGAACTGTACATATGATCTATTTATCGAATCCCGAAAAGATACTCCCCGGGAATTTTCTCTCCAGAGACACTTGCTCTCTAATTGTATTTAACAAAAATGTTAATCAGCACGAGATTAAGATATTTATTTATTTATTTGAGGGCATGAATGTGTGAGTGTCAGTACAAATATGGACAAATGGTTATCCTCTTCATTCACCTACACCCACACATCCACATTTTTGTATGATTCATACAAAAATGTGGAATCTCTGTTCCGAGAGCCAATATCGCTGAGGGGCAAGTGTTCGGGGAGCAAGTATCTGGGGAGCATCTGCCTGGGGAGGATCTTGCCGGTTACCCTATGTATTCAATGGTTTTCACTTGTTTATAACTCTTTTCTAATAGTTAGTTCACTTTTCATTAATCGAAGCCCGTGCAATTATACGAATGCATCTAACTACGATCGAAAATAATCATTGAATACAACATCAAGCATAAAAAAGATTGTCTCAAGACAAAAGTTAATTTGTCTTACATTTAGCAATTATTTTGAGACTTATGAAGTCGAAAAATGATGTCACGTTGCTAAATTTAAATAATAAATATTTAGAAAAAGATATCTTCGTGAAATTTGAAAACATAAAATGTAATCAATCATAATCCTTGTCAAGATTGTATCTAGAGATCTTCATATTTTATCAAGTCTACAATTAATTATTCTGCTTCATTTTGGTCTTCGCAATCTTGATGTATTCAAATTGTCTAGATTTTACCAACACAATAAATAGAAGACTTCAACGAACATTACAAATCTTATTACTATTTTTAGTTACTTACCAATCTCTTTTCGAACATCATTCGGTACTTTCATACGACAAGTGTCGTCAACAAGACACAGATTGTCATTTAGTGATTTAATAATATCGCATAGTGCCGGATGCGCTATCATTTGTTTGAGCGTTGCTTTAGCACTTGCACGTTCGTCAGGATTTTTCTTCAACAAAAGCTCAATGATCAATTTGTAGCCACCCTTCCGTGGTACAAATATGTCTTTGGCGCTGGGATCATTGCAAAAATTTTCATAATCAAACTGATCTGTCCACGGTAGTCGTTCGAAGAATAAAATATAGAACATGACTCCGGCTGCCCATGCATCTGACTTTTTGTGAAGATGTCGTGCTATGACATGGTTTGAATCACGTCGTAGAAATTCTGGAGACGCAAAAAATATAGTATGAGCTTTGGTTGCATCAACAGTTATTTGAGCACGTGAAGTATCCATCTTTTCAACAGTACCAAAATCGATTAGTTTGACATAAAAACTATCGTTGTGTGAAACGATAACAAAGTTTTGTGGCTTGATATCACCATGAATTATGTTTAATTGTTCGAGAAAGGTTAGTGCACGTAGAACATATACAATAACAGTTATGCCCAAAAGAAATCTATTCTCAGGATCTAAATGTGTCATATGGGCAGACCAGAAAGCCACCAAATCACAAGACGCTAGTTCCATTGCAATATGAATGTTCTCTTTTGTGAATTGGCTGCCATAATAGTTGATTATTGGATGATTTTCAATTGGTACTTTTTTTATTAAACGTAGGAAATTAATTTCGTTTTGAATTTCCTCTCGAATATCTGGCATGTTTTTCATGATTTTAATGGCTACAACACGATTTTTGTTACGAGTTCGAGCTCTGTAGACTTCACCAAATCCACCTTGACTAATGAAATCAATGATTTCATATGTCACACCTTCAACTTCTATTAGTTTTATTTGATTTCGGTTGGCTGAATCATTATTCTTGAATTTCATGTGTTCAAATATATTCTTGCCTATCTGATTGATCATGGTGCCGGGCTTCTTTTTATGTGCAGCATATTCTTGTGACAGACGTTTTGCTATTTCTGCATTCTGTTGCATGAGTACTTCTGTTTGCTCTTGCTTTTGTCGAAATGAAAGTTTGGATCCATCAACTCCCATGTCTTCCTTAGCGGTGAAATCGATCGATCTAAAAAAAATATATGTGATTATGACAAGACGTAAATGCACACAATAGAAACTTCAAATGAAAATATATTTGTAGTATCGCCGAGAATTATTTACTAAAAAAGGTGTTCTGTTTTAAAGCTATATACATTGTCATACAAAGATATTTTGTGCTGTTTATAAGTAGTTTTTTTTCTTCCGTTCTTTTTCTTTTCTCGAGAAATATGGTGGATTTTTCAGTGTTGACAGCAGAAAAAAATGTAATTTCACCAAAAGAGAAAGAAAACATAAAATTGTTGTTTACTTGACAATCTACAATCTATCCAACATAAGATGACTTTACTACCTGTTTAGAAAACAAAAAATAGACTAGATTCTGACAATTTGGATGCATTCATATGAATAAAAACAAAATAAGGTGACTGCCACTTACTCCATACGAGGTTGTCGCTAATCTTCAGAGATCGCTCTTTATTCATTACTTCACTTCGAATTAAATTTATATTTGCTTATAAACGGAATAATGGACTATTACTGGTTCACAGTTATTATGTATATCTCATCTAATCTGAATATTTTGATGATGAATTATTCGTTCCTATACAGTGTATCTTGAAATCGGCTACAGAAAGGTCTAGGATAGTTTCTTCCGTAGACACTTACTTGCAAGTAGTTACGTATATGTATGCGTGTAGATAGATGTATGGATTGCAAAAGACCTTACAACTACATACACATCAACATCCTAGAGCTTCTTTTAGATCTTATTGCAATACAAAATTGTGAGACTCTATTTATTCATAATAGGATTTTATCCTTCGTATATTACGTAGAATGAATTATAATCGATTTTTACTGCATTAATGTCTATTGTCAGACACAGAAAATTCCCTACAAACGAGCTACTTGAATTTGATCGGCATGATATTAAAATAGGATCTATTGGAGATAATAGTTAAATAAGTTTTATTAATGATAATAATAAGCATAATTATAATGCTAATAATATATATAATAATAATCAAGGTGATAATGATCAAGAGAAATCAACAACAATGAATCACGAGAGAGCAGAAAACATTAACTCAACTACTAGATCACAGTAGCAAGTTTAGCGTCAATGATCACCATCTATCGCCGGTAATCACCCAAGTTACTATTTTTATTTTTATTTCATTCAAAAAAGATGATGAAAAACGAAAAGATTTGATTGGATAAAAAATAGAACTAAATTACATCCGATAATGGAATTAAGCAAGCAGCGATCGTTTTCAGAAAACTTGATACTCTACTATTTGTTGAAAGACACGGATAACAAATTTCTTGTTGTCTATCTTCTGAAGAAGAAAAATCCTGACTCAAAACAAATTGAGGTTTGTTCACATATTTCTCTAAATTCTTTTTTTGCTAGTGTACTATTTACAACGATATATAGGATCATTTTCGAATGTTACTTAAAAATAAATATCTAATTCTGTTGAAATATTAATAATATGCTTCAAACACAATAAGTCATTCATGATAAATGTGTTTCTGGTAGATCGTTCAAATGCAAAGTATATGCTCTAGATGTCACCGTGTAATTTAGACACTTTTTTATTCGACAGTAATCAGAAGTTAACATAGTCGAATGCTGCTTTGACTTACGTGATAATAATTTGATAAAGTCATTTATTTGATCGCACGAACGATAATCACTACTATCGTAAATAAACTATATCACTCAAGTGTTATCTAGTGTTGCGCTTATTATAACAAACGGATAATTGAAAGTGAGGAAGCGCTTATACGATGTGCCAGCGGCAAGCTATTCTTACCCTGTGAAAATCATTTAGGTGATTGTGTTGTAAGACTTGATTATTCATAGAAAAGAAAAAATAATAATAAATATCTATGTTTACGCTTAGTTTTGTTCCAGGCAAGTTTATGCATTAATTACTTGCAAGATTTAACAATGGTTTTCTTATATGTAGCACAGATTTTATATGAAAACAGGTTGAGTAAATTTGATGACTTGCAATGTTGGATTTTTCTCACTTTGTCGATAAAAGAAAGGAGTACAAATTCAACATCTAAAGGAACTGATGCAATGGCATACAGAAAATCAATAAATGAACAAAAATAACGATGAATTTTTCTTAAAAAGAATTAGAAAAAAATTATTAATATAGAGAAATGATGATAGGACTAAAATACGTAGAATAGTGAGCTGCAAGATCATAGAATGAACAACTAAATCAATAACTTTCTAAAATGTTGACTATAATCTACTCATGCTAAATTAGTTATTGAATTCTCTCTTTGTAATTTTAAGTGAGGAAGCCTGTTTTGCGCATGTTTTTTACTAGATACAGCCTCGAAGAATTTCTATCGGTACAAAGAAATCATCGAAGGAGCAACTGATAATCGAAAATTCTTGCAAGTAGAATATGTTAATATACGTCTCGAGAAGAAATTCAAGTCAATTAGACTGTATAGTCTGGATATAGATGTGAGTGTGTGAATTTTCTTCGTCCTTATCTACAATGATATACTTACACCAGCAACATACGTAGAATCACAAGCAGCTTTGATGAAACTAATCATAAAACGTTGATTAGTATGGTTGTATTCATTTTAAAATGATTCAAGAGTCTAATTAATACTTTATAATCTCCTCAATGACTCAATCAATCAAACTCTACTTAAAACATTTCTCGAATAAATGATTGTTAAAGAATTCTCAAATTTACGTATAATGATATCAAAGACTAAGTAAAGGTTATTTTTGAAAATTCATTCAAGGAATAACCTTTCCTCAATGATGTGCTTTACGCAGATAAGCATTGTGACTCTAAAAAGTTATATTTATTTATGTATATAGAAAGAAAAAATTCAAAATAAAGAAAAATTCATTTTGTAACATAAATATATTCTTATGTTTTGGGAGTATAAATTTCATTGTTCTAAAGAAAAAAAATTTTAAAAGCTCATTGAAAAGTAAGTTCGAAATAGATCACTATTTGTTTTGTTAAATTACGCGGAAAAGTCTCTCGGTGAAAAACAATTTCATTGAATTAATTTTCTGGAAATTATAAAATATTCTGCTAGTTATAGTAATATCGTGTTTATAAATTAGTTTAGTTATAATGAGTACGAAATAAATAAAGAATTGTTTTATAGAATTCAAAACGAACAGTAATCATGAGAGATCTTTTTTTGTATTTCTGATAAGAGCCAAATTTTTACTCTATTTGCATGACATGAAAAGTGAATTTATTTACATAAAAATTATTCGAAGACGAAAACAAACCGATTGTACAACAAAAACATGGATATGAAGAATCACATGGTACTTGAAAGTGACGCACATTTCTGTTGTTTGTGTCGAAATTTATCTTTTATTGGCGTCACAAGAAATAAAAGCTAGCCTGTAAATTTATGATATGATTTTTCAACAAATATAGTAATCGATTTTATTTTAATTTGTATTTATTGTCACTGTTGCATCTATTTTTCGTGGCTAATCAAATGCATTGAATTATCGCATTTATTGCTTCATGCAAAATAATTCTCATAAATTACATGCTTTAAAAGATAAAATTTATTTAACAAACAGATTGATATTCATATTTATAGAAAATACTATAAATATATATATATATATATTAGAGAATAAATTGATCAGATTTGCTTCTTGAAAAACTATCAGGTAAAATTAGTGAGCTCAAGCGTATGATTAAACTACTTGATCCTATCGAATAGTATATTTCAATGACAAAGATATAAGAATAAAAAATAATATTTCGTTCTGGAATTGATTTATTTATCGAAGAAAAATTTTCAAAATTATCAAATATTGTTAATAAATTATATATATATATTCTTTTTTGTTTTTGTATAAAAATAGAAGAGCGGATATTAAAACTAAAAGGAAGGAACCAATTAACAAAAACGCGAATAAACTTACTAAAGAAATAAACACACACACACACACAACTATTTCTTTCTTTTCTAATCAGCTGATTGCTGATCATGAGTTGAATAAACATCCAAACTATCGCTGTCACTTTCATCAATATGATTTCTCGGTGAATCTTCTCGCTTTTCCATTTCTTCTTTGAATGTTAATAAACTTGCTTCAACCGCTCGAATGAAATCATCATCTTCAGTATCATTTGGATTATCTTCACTCAAAGTTGATGGTGTTGATTGACTTCTTAAATGGCGAGCTCGCCTTCGATTACGTATGTGTTTAACTAAGCGATATGTTCCATAAGTTGGTGCACCAATCGTCGTTCCTACAGCTAACAATGCAACAGCACCCACAGCTGCTACAGGAGCAGCTAGTGTAGCAGCACCAGCAACTAATCCACGAACTGTATAACGTAAAATTGGCTTATCTGGATATAAGTTATATTTACATCCTGAAACGATTTTGATTTAAATAGTTGCATAAAAATAAAAATAAAAACAATTACCAAAGGGAGAATATCGACTTTCGTGTGACCCTAAAAATTTGAATCCCATTCTTTTTTTCCCACAATTGTAACAGAAATCACAATGACATTTTGAACAAATCATATGTGGACAGCCACCATTTCTTGATATGAAAACCTAGAATAAATATTTAATTTATGATAAATCACGAGAAAAAAAGATTGATTTCTCGAACTTTGCATCTTGGACATCGTTGAGCGTTCTGTTGATTATTATCGGTTTTGGCAGCCCATACTCGAAGTAATTTTTCTCCTTCACGATATTCTTTACAAGTCATTTTACTATGCCATGGTGCATGACAATAAAAGCACCATTCAAACTGACATTCATCACACGTAACACGTCGTGGAATATTTTTTCTCAATCGAACACCTTGAAATAAATTTTTATCAATTTGTTTTATTGCACAACATTGTGGACAAGTCTTTATATGTGGTTCACGGTTAATATCAGCATAAAAACGTTTATATCGTTCGGCTATTTCTCCATTAGTATCCTTTTCTAATAATAATAACAAAATCTCTTCACGAGTTAATATATGTGGACATGATGGACATGCTATACGAATTTGGGCTTCAGAGATATGTGACGATAAATGCGAATAAATACATGATGAGCAAACAGTTGATGAACAACAAGATAATGGACGAATTGATGATTCTTCGAGACATACTTGACATTCAGCAGTTGGTAAAACTACTCCAGACCCATCGTCTGATGATGATAATGAAATACTAGGCACTACAACATAATGTAAATAAAATGATTTATTTCAACTTATTAGTCATTTTGATAATTCTATTTTCAGTTTTTAAATGACTACAACAAAAATTCTAATATTAAGTAAATAGAAAAAATTAATTATGCATGTTTCAGATTTCAAAACAATACTTATGTAATTACTAGTTGTTAAATAATATGATCATCACGTTATATCAAATCTAATATCATTGCTTAGAAATACGTCTGTCTTTATAATAGATTTTTTGATATTTTATGAGTTTGTCATCAACTAAAAACAGCTAGGATAAATTATTGTTTAGATCTAAACTGTTTTGTTTTGAATTAATGAAAGAATTTCTGCATGTTATGTACAATATTCAATAAAAATCTAAGCTGAGTGAATTCCATGAAATGATATACTGCTTTTCGTATAAGTATTGCTTAATTGAATAGATTCTATTTAGAATACAAAGCACTGAGCAATATTCGTGGGTCTCATCATACTTTTACATTAAGTTATGGCTAATTTAGTCAATCGTTCAACCCAATATCGTGTTGTTTGTCGCATCACATACAAATGCAACTATTATTGCTCAAGTCAAGTTCTCTTGAAGACTAGATTATTTTGAAAGTTTTACATTTTCTTGTAGTTCGACTACAGTAATATTAGTATTAGCCGATAGAAACTGTTAAGAATGATATTTACAACAAAAAAACAATATAATAGATTGAAACTTTACTTTTGTAGATTATGAAAGGTTTTTTTTTTTTTTTATAAAGGAACATCAAGTTTGCAGAGAAAGTCACTAAAATAGTAAATAGTCAAGAACAATAGTGCATGACCGCAAATCTATTGATCTTGTTTTCTGTCATAATAAATTCTGTACCATCGAGTACGATTTATATCAAAAATGATCTAACAATTAGACATACTCTTTGATAGGTAGTTTTAACAAGAATCATTGTACTCTAGTACTATTTGGGCATAGGAAAACTATTCAAAAATAGTTCGAAATAATCTTACGCTATTTTCTCCTTGTTTTCTTCCATAGAACTAAACAAACAATAATATATTTAATAGGAAATAGTACATCATAACACATTCCGGTTTTTTTCTAAGAAAAAATTAGTTAATACTTTTTTTTAATGAAAACTTAATAAGAAAATCTTTTATATTAATTTACTTAATCGTCTTAATGTATGGAGGCGTTGTTGAAGATTTGCCCAATCTAAATTTGTATCATCATTGCTACTTGCATCATCATCATCTTTATTCTGATTTATCGTAAATGTTGTTATAGAATCACTTGAAGATGAATCTGATGCAAAACTTGATGAACTTGAACGTCGTTCACGTAATTCTTTTTGCGAAGAATTTGAATTTTTTTCACTATTAAAATTTTTATTTTCATTCGATGCAATTAATGATGGCACTTCATCAGTAACAGAACGAATTGTAGTAGTTACGTTTGTTGTTGTTGTTGTGCATTCTGACATCGTTTCCTTTGACTTTAATACACTAAAAGAATAAATATCATTTTCATTAGTATATATTTGACACTGTTATGGATTCAGAAGATGTATTATTGTTTTTTCTACTCTCTATCAAAATATAAACTTAGTTGCTTTGCAATCGTATATTACTAAAGTGGTTCAGTATCATGGATACAAAGTGTAGAAAATCAAATGTTATTTTTGGTCAACCTAAAGATCACCAACCTACGTCTGCGTGCTCATGATGGTGACAGAAAAATTTTAAAACGACAATACTTGACTCAAATGTTTTCTTTTCGTTTTCTTCTTTCTGATCAAGGTGGAAAAAATGCAAACGTCGTCTGAGTAGGTAAATGTATGAGGGAGGAAAAAAGAATGTAAGTGACAAAGACGAGTATGTATTGTAGAACTCGATTTCGGAATAAAATGTATATATCTAAGTCGAACCTTTTGTTTTCTTGTACTTAACATGCACATACCTGTTAAGATGAATCCTATTTATATTAGCTTTTGCTAAAATAATTATGCTCATCAAAACAGAAACTCAGATACGCTAATAAACTTTTGTTTAATGAAAATAAATTCGATTATCTTCCTTATTCATCATTAATCAAAAATAGTTCACCTGTTAGTTTGAGTAGATATGTATAGAATTAATCACTGGGATATATGCCAAAGCCGTTTCAAATAAACATAAAAATCTAGAAACAAAATGCAAAATATATTTTTTTCTTTCAATCTTTTTTTTTCTCTGAATGCTGATTTACAATTACTTTATAAAATGTAAAAAAAATCGTTTCGATTTTATAAGGAAAAGTAGAATATTCAACAGCACTTCGTTGTTTTTCGAGAATATGATTGTACGATCATTGACGATGACTAATAACTGAATAAAATCAAAATTTCATCATTTTATGCAGTACAACTCAGTTCTGACAAACATCATTTGTCATATAAAGAAACAATCAGGTGACTCAACTTCCTATCAAATATCAAGTAGCGATGCAATACAATCTGCTCTGCTTTGACTGAATTATAGATATCGCTAATGTATGGTCATTGAAATTTTTCATTTTCTGTCTGGCACATATTTAATAATGCATTTTTACAGTTAAATAAAACGACAAAGAAATAACCAAAATAAAATTCCGATAAAGCAAACTGTAACAAAAGGATTACGCATACGATTATTATCATACCACGATAATTCACCACTATGATAGTTTAATGTCATAAGTACTTGATATCATTGATTCTTTTGACTGTTTTCTTTTGTACATTCTCGTAAATTAAACTTATCAGAAAAAAAGGTACAGATTATAATTTTTGATCTACGAACATTTTCATTGAGTCGCTCGAAAAAGTCGTATTGCTTCCATGATCGGCGATTAAGAACTTCATCCACGGTTGTGAACGATCGGATGCACTTCCTATATAATTGTTTACGACTATGCCTGTTCAACCAGCTTTATTTTCTTTATCTTTGATTAGTTGTTTAAGCGCAACATTAATTCTTCCTAAATCTTGACAAGCTTCATCAATTTTCGTAATTGCTAAAATCATTTATTTTTACATCACACTGTTTCATCGTTCTTTGATTTTCTTCTTTTAGTAGATTGTAAGATAAGTTGCTAGATTAGCATCTTCACAATCATGTTTATCTTGCGTTGATGTATCGAAGTTTATTAAACCATTATCTAATGTTGAGGGAACATTCGATAATTAGTCATTTTTTAATCGCGATACAATATTCGACGATTGATCACTGCTTGATGAGTATGGTCTACATATTGATTTATCATGATTTGATACTGGAAATATTTCTTTATCGATATTAAGGGTGTGGGTGTGGGTATGAGGCTATCGCGGAAATAGAACTTATCCAAGTAAAGCTTTATCGTTAGTTTTCCTTCTTTCATTTTTTTTTCGAAGTGACACTATGCAGTTGAAGCTCGAATTAAACGTATCGTGTTCGATATTGATAAAAATTAATCGCGATGATCCGTAGAATTTATCTAATAGTGATAAATTGTAATCGTTTCGATTAATTTCAATGAAGCAATATGGTATTCTCTAAAGCATTACCATTCAAATCAATAAATGTTTCAAGTTCATGTCACTATCAGATGCAGCCAATTGTAGTTTGATACCCTAGAGGAAATACTAATAATAAATAGTAAACATATTTAGAACTAATAACATTATATTGTTAAAATCTAGCATTGTAAGTTTCATGTTCATAAAAAAACGTTTAATTGCCATCGAATAAACATTTCAAGAAACTAGTTAATCTAGCATCAATATAAGCTTTCAAGATTTTCGAATTTCTTTCCAAATCTATGATATTGGCTAAGAGTATACATGTTTAAAATCTAAAAAATAATGAAGAGCTCCAAGATGTCATTTAGAAATTTGTAAACAATTAAGTTCTAAAGATGAACTAAATATTACGACAATAAACAAAAAGCTATTACCAATCATTAAAAATTAAGTAAGAATCATGTTTTTTTCCAAAGAGAAATATAGTTTTGCTAAGTGAAGACAACTGATAGTTGTAAAACTGTAGAAAAAGATCTAAATTATTTCAATTTTATTTCCATAAAAAATGAATCCAGCAAAATAAACAAAAACTGATCGTTTATTGTTTTTTGTGTTGACAGGCTTCTTTTCTGAGATATTCAAAACTATTGAATACCAAAAAACCATATTAAATAAAAAAATAATGTCAGCGTAAATATAAGTAATGTAGCTGCAAACGTTCGACAGTAGTGATAAAACTGTGCATTGCAGAATGGTTTAACTTCAGTTGAAATGTCTGTTTGATAATAGAACACTAAAACAATCTAAATTGTTATTCATGCGGAATACAAGAACAATTTAATTTTGTTTATACTGACCGTTGACGCCCTAATAATTGTGTTCAGACTGTATATCACCACCGCTATGATTGCATAAAGTAAATACCATAAGTGGGTACCTGAGTCATCTACTTTGAGGTAGGAGTCCACTATCTAAAAGATCCTTTATACTTGTATTATGCTTTCAACAAAGTGAATTTATTTAATTAGAATACTCTTTCACAATGTAGATTCTTTCTACTGAAACATCTTCATTTTGAAAGATATGTTAGTAAGTCGAAATAGAAAGAAAAAGTATTTTGTTTCATTTTGTTTTTTTTATATCTAGCATCGATCCGATGACTCCTCTCATAGTTTGGTAAAATAAATGAACCTATAAATACAAAAGCAAGAACACCGAGAGACAGAAGCGATCGATGTGAACATTTAACATATTTGATAAAACTCAAACAGAAAGAACTGATCGATGTACCAAAAAGAACAATGAATATAGCACTGAAATGGAAAGATGTTGATCAAAGTTCTGATAAGTGACTGATTGTTGTTGATAATTATTATACAATACTCTTGCTTTATATTTAGCTTATGACAAGTGTCAACATGTAACTGATCCGACGTCAGAACAGGAAATGAAATCGTAGTGACTTGTAATTATGAGAATCAAATAGAAAAGCAACAAAACTATATGATTCATCATTATTCATTGCGAATTATTTAGTAATGTTTCATATTCATCGAAGGAATTACTTATCACATAAACATATTTTTTCGAAAGAATATTGCAACTTGTATGAATAAAAGTAGACTTCCTTCGCACAGAATTCATATTAATGAAAGTAGTTTATGATAACGATTAACTGGATGAGTAGTGGTTCCCCTAGTTCATTTTTTCCAGAAACATCTCTTGAAAGTTTTCATGAATATATTTAGTCTCTTGAAATTATTGAAAGAGTCTCTCAACAATTTGAAGTTACTAGGCACTCTCTCGAAAATTGATGAGAAAGTGTAGGAATGCAGTTGTCTTTCGCATCTATCAAAGTTGAAATGAAAATGATGACTTAAAAGCAAGCATTATGTTTTTAGTATAAATTTTATCGAACTTGCAAGTATCATTTATGTTGAACACTCTCTCGATATACGACGCATTTTTTTAAACACAATTTATTTCGGCTGATAAAAATTCAACAGCATGATAAGAAATTGAACAAAAATGAAGAAATCGGTTTTAACGTAACGTTTGGAAGCTATTTAAAAAATGGTCAGAAAGTGGTTAAATTAGACTCAAAATGTCTGATTAGTTTCTGGGAATTTCTAAAAAATCCCAAGGAGTTTCTGTCATGAGCCATCGCGGTTAAGCTTATAGTGGACTCTCTGGGAAAATTTTTGCATGGAGACTTAACTAGACCCGCCGCTATCTTCGATAATGATGCCTATTCAGTGATTTCATACATCTGAAATGTAACTACTGTAGATATGCCATATTTTTACATAAGAGAGACGAGAAAGTTGTTAAATAGATTTAATTTTAGCATCACGAGGTTTCATTGGGCTTCTGTTCGTTCAAAAGGACAGAAGACAAAGAGACGATTTTCTTTTTATTGAAGACTCACCCTTCCAGTCGGAGCATAAAAATGATACAGTCAGCGGTGGACTCTGAGTGTCTGAATGGATTACTATTACCCCATTACATCCCCCTTAAATCCATCACTACACAGAGCACATTATTGTAATTACTTTCAGCTATTATTCCATCAAGAAGAAATAATTATATGATAACAAAGAAAACAAGTTGTGCGCTTACATAATATGTAATTGAAAACTCCTTTGAAAAATGTTCAACACTGTAAGGGGACTTATAGCCAAATTACACATGAATAAAATTATTTTCTGTTTGAAAAAGGGATGTAATTATAAACTACAAATTTTGCACTAAACATATTTTCTCCAGAAGAATCTGAATAGTAGAAAAGACTAAATATGAAAGACACCTGCACTGCAGGTTGTGCAACTTCAGCACACAGAAGAATCATTCCCAAAGGAATCCAGTAGAATTTTATGTGAACTCCCACAAAACCGACGAATTCTTATCGAATTCCGGTTTGAGGAACAACAAATATATGTCTATTGTTGAAATTTTATCGCATTCTACAGTCAGGCTCAAAGGAACAAGCGATAGTTTCTATGCCCGGTACACGTTAAGATTTTTGTGGCTACCCAAAAATATGTTTCCTTTGATTCTTTTATATATTTCTTCACTACATATTTCACTGTTTCAAACCCAAAATATACAAAATTTTCTACAACATTGAGCTGTAAAGGTTTATAAATAATAGCATGCTGATTTTTTGTTCTACTTACAACAAAAATATATTTAACCAATAAATATGAACAAACATACGATCAATAATAAATTAGTACTTGTTTCTTTCGAGACTCAAAAGCTTACATGATTAGAATTCTATTTTGTATGAATCTGCACGCAGTTTTACAATTAAATCCGGAAGAAAATAAGAAAGAGGTTTTAGTGGTTTCATGCATTTTTCTCTCGTCAATCTCCAGACTGCAGAATACGAAGCTTTGCCATTATAGATCTTTGTCACAGCAAGTAGCTTAATCTTAAAAAGTAATCTGTTGAAAAAATAATAATATTAATGTATTAAAAAATTTCGGAAATGAAAAAAGTACGACAGATTAAAATATTGAAGGGAATTATAATATCATGAACAAAAATTAGTTTCACGTTCCAGTGATTCCCTAAAGTAACAATGAATGAGTGACTAATGTCATAAAATAAGAAGAAAAAAATTAATGCCGTGACCCGGGATCGAACCAGGGACCTTCAGATCTTCAGTCTGACGCTCTCCCAACTGAGCTATCCCGGCGAAAATTGTTGCTCGAAAAAGCAATAATAATTTGAAATAAAGCTTTTCTACAGGTTCTCTAGAAAACAAAAAATTTCTAGTCTGTGTAAGAATTTTTTTCCTGTTACTAAAATGACTAGTATTTTTCATGTCATGATATACCTACATTAGAATCTATCAAAAAAATCAATCACTTCCTTTTCTGAGAGAAAACAGTGTGCGCCGATCTTTTTTTCATGAAAATTCGTCATATAGAGAGTTTACACTTGATCTTAAAGTTTTGACTCAGTAAAGAGAAAAACACTAAGAAATTTATCTAATAAAATTAAGACAATCTAAGTGCTACTCGTTGTCTGTGACTGAATAGCAGAGAATTCCGTGAAATGAAAAGCAGCGATTTAATGTGTTTATGCATCAATTGATCTTATTCATCGATTAAGAATACTTTCCATATTTCGTATTCATTCTTTAATTAATATTAACTGACTATAGTCTTCCGATAAGAGCAAATTAATAATTACTTAAGTTTGTGGATAATTATATTTCATTTACTCATAGTCAGAATGGGTCGTTTGAATAATAATAAAATCTTTCTGTCATGGTCATCGATATAACAAAACGTTGAAGGCCTTCTCGCGTGTTCTTAACATAAATCTCGAATTGAATTACTTCTTCCAATAGAAGTAACTCATTGCTTCGTATTGATAAATATATTGCTGTTGAAAGTTTTTTTCTCTATATGTTCTATGATACCAGTTCAATTGTTCATTTTGTTTAATGATTTTTTATAAATCTATACAGATCTTGAATTAATTCTTCTAAGCATTTCTATTTCTGAAAAATATTATTAAATAAAAATAATGTTATTTTCTTATTATTACCTCGAATGAATACGTTTGAAAATGCTTATAAAAAGAAAGTACAATAGCTTATCTGGATAAATAACAAACATATATATTGATCTTATAAAGCGGAATAACTTGCTAAGTTACATATTTTTATATTATGATTGAAATAATATGCTCCTAAGAAACTGAATCATTCATTGAAGTCTAAAATATATGAGGCGGTAGATACTAAATGATATGCTTAAAATTTTACAATCTACTCAGGACAGCTATTTTCTACACAAAGTCTTTCAAATGCTCAAATATTTACTGTGAATCAATTGGAGTTTAGCTTTTGGGATACTTTCCAAACGATATATAACTCATTTTTTACAAGTTTTTCTGTCTTACAGAACGTTGCTGAAACATAATATTTGTTTTAATGAAATTTTGATAAATCATTTTTTCAGATCGGAACACAAAATTGCTCCAAAACATTCAAATGTGGTGACTTCTATGAGTTACAGAATGAATATGACATAAAGTTGATATTTTGGAAAGATAAGATACAAATACTATATCGATGATATCGGCATACCTGCCAAAGTTAGCTATCGAGATGAACAGAAACAGAATAACTAGAAAAACACCGAGAGTACTACGAAGTCAGAAATTTCTTTGACGATCGTAATGGAAAAAAAACAAGACAGCGTTGTAACAAATTAATTCTAAGAATATAACACGCACCTTAGATTATGTACAAAGTGTTACCAAAACAGTACATTTCAGTAGATTTGTGAAATGATAAAATTGCATAGATACTTGATTTATCAGAAACGATATGCCGCAAACAATATGGTCATTCTGTAAGTTTATGATGTTTAATCCTCGATGTACCATTGGAAAAGCTTATCTGTAGTCCCAAAAATACAACAGAAATATATTCAAAACACAAAGTCACAGATAACAAGAACTCGAAAAAATACAGAAATCTATGTTAACTGTCTGAAGAGAATATGTTGTTTTCTATGCAAGAATCAGGTTGCGATAATCAAAGCAAGCAGAGCTAATGGTAGAAAAAAAGAACTACTTTTCTATAACTTTGCTCGTTAGAACATGCTGTGAGTCACTGCTAGTTCATATCGTCTAAAATTTATTTATGAGATTTAAGAATACAGTCAATCGCTGTTCTTAGTATCAAACATACACACACAAGATCAATGGTATGACTGATTAAAATATACATAGTTTCTCATTTGTTTTAGGATAAATGAAGTAATTGTCACTCCTCCATATTGATTGCTAAGCAAATAATTGCAAATTCCGTGCTACTCAACTCAAACAACATTTCATTATTGTTGGCTAGAATCAATAGATTGATGTCAACAGCGATATCGATTCCTTATCTTAGAGGAACGTGAGTATTTATAAGTATGAGTAGCACGTGACAATCTTCTACTGGGAAATACTCTTTTTCATGGTTTCAAAAACTCTCACTCATACCACTACATTGCCATCGACTTATTTCCAGAACATTTTAGATAATCATTGATAGATATCACTCATTCACTTCCATTTTCGACAGTGATACAAACGTCACTCAAATCTAATAAGTTTTAATTTATTTCAGAAGAAAACAGTTTCTTTTTGCTACGAATGATGAGTTTTCTATATTGAAGATGTCTTTTTCGCGTAGATCTCCGATAAACTCATCGAACTTTGAATTTGATCAGCTCCATCAATTCCCAATTCCGTTGACAAGCGTCTGGCATTTTCAGCCGACAATTTATCGAATTTATGTTCGACCAATAGACGTCCTTCGCGAAGTAAAGCGGGATCAATGCCTTTGATTTCACAATTAAATGTCGTAATAATTTGTTGATGCATTGCATCACCTAATAGACCATCGCTAAGATTCAAGAGGTTGCTAACGGCTTGATTCGGATTAATACTATCTTTGCGATTGAGTATAATATTTTCTGCATCTTCGATAATCAATATCGAATTTGGATATTGCATTAGAAATGGTAGAAATCCAGGTTTTGTCATTTCCTAAATCGAATCAAATTTGCATAGAAGAAAATCGAATTGAAACGCTTACTGTCACCAAATCTGGTGGTACATATATCAGACTTTTTTCTTTGACTTCATTAATCAAATACCGAATGTAATAAGTTTTACCAGTTCCCTAAAACAGCAAGAGTACATTTTTGATTCTGAGTTAATTAATAAAGCCTTATTTTTACTGGTGGTCCATGTAAAAAAGTGATACCGGTCGAATCAGCTTCGCATAGCCGTTTCAGGAGTTTTTCATGGACTTCCAAAAACCCATCGCCATAATTCAAACGTAAATATTTAATCAGTGGTCGTTTAATTAAGATTGACGATGTATAAAAACCCGATTGTGGATTGTAACAAACCATTTGTAGACTTGTCTCCGTAATAGGAAATAGTTTGAATCTGCATAATTGATCAAGGATAGTTCGTGCTTGCTCAGCTGTTTGAGGAACATGATAAACCTATAAAAATGATACATTGAAACAGAACGTTGATGGAAGTCAATCAACAAAGACTAACAGTAATGGTATTAATACAGAAAAATACTTTTTCATCCAAATCTGGTTTGAGATCGAGTGGATTGTCGAGTTCAGATTCATATGTGTGACCACCGGATAGATACACGGAGACAAAATCCCCCAAATCAATATAAATATCGGTATAGTAGGATATTTTCTTCTCATGAATATAGTACGTATTTGATATCGCGTCGTTCAGATTTACTTTGTACTGATCGATGAGATATTGGATAATACTAAGAAAAATGAGAAAAATTGATTATACTGACAAATTTAATTGCAACGAACTTAAATAACTTCTCAATTCTAAAAAAAAGGATTCTCATATTTTACCAACTGCGTCTGTTTAAATAACACATCGATGATAAACGTATAGTAAAATTTGCAAAAATACTTGCCTGGTAGTATGAGCTATAGCTGGTGTAATATTATTATTTTGGCGATATGCACAGATATTTGCAGTCATAACACACGGCAGTACTTGATACTTGATACTGAAGAATCGAATCGGATGAAGATTGCCAAGAGCTGCCATATCCATGAGGAGTTTTTCATAGTTTGATGTTGTTTTTCGATCGACCAAACCTTGGTAGTTGGGTGTAATTTTTACTGAAGACGATGCCATGATTTTATAGACGATAACTAACTATATATGCAAAAGAACACATATATATATGCATGAATGTATGTTGATATGACTCAGCATCATGATTAGTTGCCGTTTGTTGTGCAAGACTACTTTCTTTGTTATTGCGCAACATTTTTGCAGAAGAAAATTGAAGTTTATTCTGTTCTGAAACTAATGGGCACGAGGTATTCAATAAGAGTAGTATATACTTGATATATTATCAAGCAATGTTCTGTTTTTCTGCTCATCTTTCTCGATTGTCTTTTGACAACACAAATGATTTAAGATATGCGATTGCCTTGTTTGGCCTGTTTTTAATTTAAATAAATGCGGAAACATCGGATTTGCATCCGATTGTTATGTGTACTTCAAAAAGCGAAAATGTACACCCATTTTTTTCTATAAGGCATAGATATCATCAAGATACATCCCTTCTCACTAAATTACAAGGAGAAAATACAGGCATGCTAAGTTAGCATGGACCACACTGTATGCAACTCTATCCTGTGATCACTGACTCTACTCTCAGCGTGATATAATATCTTTAGAGATCACAGAAATTGAGCTCAGATTCGTGTTCGCAGCTTCGAAAACTGGATAAGAACAGTTATTTTGAATGGTTTTATGTTTGTATCTAGCAGGATTACGATCGTAAGCAGCCTCATGAATTTATTGAGATATATGATAGATACAGGCATCGGTATTTTCATAATAAATCATCAATAGTAATAGCTATCGAGTTCGGGATTTCACCTTTCGATAGTCTTTTTGACTAGCTACAAAACCAGGCATTTGAGAAACCCCCAAACTGCTGGTCATCTGAAGCATATCTAGGCAATTTGGTTTCTAGATGCAGTTTTTGTGTATTTTGAGACCTTTTTCAGTCAATGTTTCGTTAAAAAACTACGATTTTTTTCAAAACTAATATCAGATTCAAAATCAGCGTTAAAAACTGAGTCGATCTATATATGTTGCGGATAATTCTGAGAAAAAAAAGTTTTTTTGAAAAATCCCTGTACTCCCCCGCAGGGATGGTCTGATCAATAATGACAATTTTTTCGATAACTCAACCATTTCTTGACGGATCCTTCTCATCTTCGAACTCGACTGAGACATTGATGAGACTGAACTGTGTAGAAAATTTCATCATGATCTAACTCTCCTTTCGAAAGTTATTGTGTAAACGGACTGCCGGACGGACACACTGACCGATTCTAGAGTGTACTCACTTTTTGAGTACACAAAAACGTAGTATTGATTAATGACTAAAAGGCATGTAGTAGTTTTCAATGAAATAAAATGCAATTAACTATTTTATTGTGATTCAGTCTTTTACTGAATGCTTTAAGTTAAAGAATATTTACTACGTTTAAGTCATATCAGCAGAAGATAAAGTTTTTTCTAATGATTCTATGGAACTTCGTTTAACTAGATAAATAAAAGTTCAGTTTATATTTTTACAAATAAATGCACGTTATTATTTTCATTGGATGTTCTCCTGCATTGTTCGCTGGTTTTTGTAATCTTTTCAATATTGGAAATTAATGACTGAAAGCAAATGCTCGAATAATCCTAAAGAAAATTGGATAATCTTTTAATATTGAGAGTCAACACTGCATATTTCTTTAATGAATTGATATCACAAAATATGTACGTGAAACGAGCGTGCTATATTTCCCCCTCATCTATAAATTGTTTAGCTCACAAGATGTTTTGCGAGGCATTTGAACATTTTTTTTCTATGAGATAGATTTATTATTTATTGTTAAAACTTCAGTTGAGATAACCTGAGTAAGCTGTAATTAAACGTGACTTAACAAGAACAGGTTTGTTAGTCTTACACGAGAGTTATGAGATTCTAGTATTTTTCTATTAATTCTATTCCGAGATATATTACATATATTTGCACATTATATGATAGATAAGAAAAATAAACAATCTCCATTATGATATCGATGTTTGAGAAGAGTTTTCATCCTATAAACATATTTAAACAACAAAATAAAAAGTGACTCATCGAAAATGATATTATCTTTATAAATTGTTGTTCGTATTCAGAACAGATACTAAGGAGATTTTGTTAAGCTTTCAGATAAAAAACAAAACATGGTTAAAACAATTGTATCTGGTGGTCAAAAAAGTAGTCTATCATTTTACGGTGGTTCACTGTGTGCCTGTGTGATTATAATTGCAAGTTTTATTATACAAACACGTAATAGTCCACCATTGAATGAGTACCTATCGAAAAATATATCCTCAAAAAAACCATATGAAACATTTCAAGAATTTTACCCTTACTATTTGAATGAACACCAAAAAGAAACGACTCGTCAATTGCATTATATTGGTACAGCACTGTCTCTTGTTTACTTTTTGACAAAACCTATTCTGTCAATACCAATGCTAGCCGGTGGTTTAGCTGCATATTCAATAATACCATTTGCTCGTCATTTATCAACCGGTCTTGTTGAAGTAATCTTATTTCTAACAATTTATATTACCGGCGGCAAACTTCTTACGAATTCTCTAATCAAAACCTGCGTTCCACTTCTAATAGGCTATGGTTTCTCTTGGATTGGCCATTTTGCTTTTGAACAAAATAAACCAGCTGCATTTATTTATCCAACTTATAGTTTCTTTGGCGATGTTCATATGATGTACGATGCTATGAAAGGATATAATTTTTCTTTTTGATTTAATAAAAGGCACGATTTTCATTTGATTCGTAAACATGTATTTTTCCAATGAGAAAAAAAACAAACGGCTACAATCAGAAAAAAGACTGCGACTAAATGTATGAAATATGAAAAACTAAAAATGACAAAAGGAAAAGGGATAGTACAAAACCTACACACATATACAGTATTGAAGGGAAAAGTTCTCCTAGCGCATGTGTTTTTTATCTTCTCGTTTGACGATTTGTTCTTTGAGATCAAGTTCTTCAAAATCAGATTTCAACCAATCGAGCATATCCGAAAAAATAACAACACCATTGGAGGATGGATCCGATACACCTGGTAATGGTCGTTGACAACTGAGAATTTCAGCATCTTCCTCGTCATTTGCTAGAGCATTTTCACTTGAAAACAAATCTTCATCATATTCAAGACAGTTCGATGCATATTGTTGTTGATGAATTTTATAATGATTTTTCATACGATATGCCGATGGAATATATTGTTTGCAAATAGGACAAACACGTTTCTTTAATTCTTTTCTTGCACTCGCACAACAATAATCAAATGGTAATATATCATTTTGTGTATGTTGCATAACAACACCATGAAATTGTATACGCTGAATTAATGAACCATAGAAAACACCTTTTTGATAATCGCGTTCAGCCATTGCAATACCACGTGGCGTACGTTCGAATGGAATTGGTGCCGGAAGAAAACGATGAGGAAAAATTTGAATATAATTTGAACGCCATGGACCACAGCATGAAATTGAATTACAACGAATTATTTGAATTGTATATTGCGTCTGAAGAACATGTGTGGCAGACCAATATCTAAATAAATTCCAGGATTATTCCAAGCAAATTTCAATTGAAATGCTTACTCATCAATATCATATTTTGGTGGATCACGTAATAAGTCACCATCAGCTGTGAAACGTGGAGCACGAACTCGATCTTGATAATATTCATCGGTTTGTCGAATACGACGTTCAATTGCTTCTTCAGCTTCTTCTTCTTCGCATACACTAAAATATTGATAATAGAAAAAAATTAAAATTTCACGAATAACTTCAATCATACCGATCTAAAAGATTATTCACAATAAGGTTAACATCAATTGACCGTAATTCTTCTTGAGTTGATGCAGGGGGATCAATATATTCAGCTACAACAGGATATTCATCGATAACAGATCCACACCAAACTTCAGCTAGAACTTCTCCAGCTTTTTTGAAATTAATTCGTTCTAATTCAGGATTAACAGTGACACCAGAATCGTTTAAATGTGTACCGAAATGATCGTGAGGTAGAATAAGACCAGCTAAATCATGAGAGAGTGGTGCCATACGACGTTCAACAACATTATAAGCTGATTGACCTGGTGCATGCGTAAGAACAAATAAAGCATCTAAATTATATTTTCGAAATTTTCTTATAGCAGCCACGAGTGTTTTAGGAAAGCGTGGATTTTCATCTGGACCACCATCGACTGTAATAATAACAATTGGTTTAACTTGTCCTGTATAATCGCGAGCTGATTTCTCGAATTCTTTAAGTCCAACAAGACGATCGAAATCGCATGTATGACTGTTAGCATCACTGCGATCATGTTTAGCCGAACGAATTGCAATATAAGTTGGACCCGAATAGCCAACATCGTTATTATCACTCATCATACAAGCAGCATAAACGCTGAAAAAGAAACGATTTGTGATCATCGTTTTTTTCTTTCTTTCTAGAAGAGTCTAAAATAGTTACCTTGGCGTAAGTTGATGACGAGGAGCAACAGTCCAGTCGTGATCGGGTAAACGAACACGATAATCCAAATGCATAAGCATCGGTGCTTGAATTTTTGCAGCAGGTAAACCAATGGGTACTTTACATTTATCATCTTGCGATAAGAAGAAAACAACTTCGTTGCCAAAAATACCAGCTAAATCTTTAATATAACGAATTGTTGCTGTTGCAAAATGACCATCTGAAAACAAAAAATAAGTTTTTTATTGAATTTTTTTGATTAAAAAAGTGCGACTAACCTTCATGTTTGCTATGTTCATCATTTTGAGCCTTTCGAAGACGTACAGGAACTGTTCGGACATGTTTTTTGCCATCAATTGAATTTGAACGATGTGGTAATAAACTATACAATAGAAAGATAAACATTCAATATTTACTGAATATTAACAAGCAAAAAAACTTACCGATAGTAAAGTGTTGATCGTTTAATATCATAACCACGTTCTTTTATTTTTTCACGTAGATCATCCAATGTTAAACAAGGACGTATTGTTTGTGAACGACGATTATCATCAGCAGCGCCACCCACTTTGGCAATTTCTTCAATAATTTGTAATAAATCTGGACATTCTTCTTCGATTGGCGGTCGTCCGATAATAGGTCGATAGATTTTATTTAATTCCAAAGCTAATTCTGGATTCTTTTCGCATAAAGCTTCAATTTTTCGCTGAAATAGAAACCAATGATTAGAATATTTATGTTCACATTTGTTTTTATTTACTTTTTTTATTTCACGATAACGCTTCTTTGCTGCTTGTTCAGCTTTGAGACGTTTTAAATCATTTGATTTTTTCTTTTGTTCAACTAAAAGCTTTTTCAATTGCTTTTCTTGTTCAGCTGTTGCCATGCCCATATTTTTAACTTGAACCAATTGTATAATACGCTCATTGATTTCATGAAGTTCTTTGGAAACTTTTTCTTGTGCTGGTGCTTTAGTGTTTTTAGCAAGAATTTCAGCTGCTGTACGAATTTTTTCAGACCCTTTTGGTGCTGGTGATGCAGGATCAAAATCTGGATCCGATGATTCATCTCGTTTTCGACGACGTTTTGTAACACGACCACCATTTTCAAATTCAATTGTTGATTCGGTTTTCTTTTTACGTCCTCGGGTTTTCTTTACTGGTTCTTTTTCTTCACTATTATCATTAACATTTTCTTCTTCTACATCCATAGTAGATGTGCCATTCGCTTTGATTTTTTCAAGGTATTCATCAAGTTTTTGTTGAACTTTTTTTTCATCAGTTTTCGCTGAATTCCATTCGGCTTGAGCTTCGGCGTGTGATATCTGAAATAAGGATGAGAGAAATAGTCGTTCATTGATTGACTGACTTATTCTATCTTACTTTTCGTGGCTTTTCAGCATGTGCTTTCATATAAGCATCGACAAAACTACGGTACAACGAGTAGCGAGCAGTTGGTTTACGTGCTGGCATAGTGTGTCTGTTGTACGTCTCAAGTTAGTAAAAGTACTAATGAACAAGAGAAATAAGATTGTTCAGCTATGAAAAAGAGAAAAAAAGGACGTCTCGAATTAGTTGTGACCTCTTCATGACCTCCTCCTCATCTCGACAATCTATGCACGTTCCGACGTCTGCGATTATTTTTAACCAACCGAATATCGACGCATGTGTGCATAGGACATACATTTTTTCTGTTTCTTATGAGCGAGGGCAAATGAGAAATGGTGAACGATTGACCGACGTCCAGAGCAACATTATATGAAGAATAAAAAGTCATTCTTAGCATTGAATCTCGCTCGTCCTTTACGAATGATTTTATTGTGTTGCTTGAATTTATTCTGTACTCTTTTGTTTTTAAAATAACAATATCGAACACAAAAAATAAAAAGATAAATAAAAGCAAAAATGTTCTAAGATGTGCCTTGAGCTTTATGGTCCAATTTCGATTCGAGTTTTTTGCTTTCGGCAACTTTACGCACAGCTTTTGAGAAATCTTCTTCTTGAACATAATCTCGTTCGGCACGGATTGCAAACATACCAGCTTCCGTACAAACATTTCGCATATCAGCACCGTTAAAACCATCGCTTAATTTAACAATAGCTTCATAATCTAGAGAGAAACACAATTATTTCCATAGATAATGAGAAGAAAAATTCTTTACCAATGTCGCCCCGTTTTGCTATTGGTGCTGCATGAATTTTTAAAATATCGAGACGAGCTTGTTCATTAGGTAGAGGAATCTCTAAATTGAAAAAAGAACTCATCAATTTATTTCAACAAATTACTCGTTTCTTTTTCATACCGATTTTTCTATCAAGTCGACCTGGTCTCATCAATGCCGGATCAAGTGTATCAGGACGATTTGTTGCCATAATTATTTTAACTTTTCCTAATGTATCAAATCCATCCATTTGATTGAGAAGCTAGAAATACATCACCATTCAATTTTTTTTATGATAAAAAAAAAACGAAAGTCAAAATGCGTACTTCCATCAGAGTTCGTTGGATTTCTCTATCAGCAGATGTACCCTCTGAAAATCGACGTCCACCTAAATATTAATAAAATAAATATTTTATATAAGAAATTTTGTTTTTCCTTTACCGATTGCATCAATTTCATCCATGAAAATAATGCATGGTTGATGATCTCGAGCATATGCAAACATTTCACGAATCATTCGAGCACTTTCTCCAATATATTTATCGACAATAGCACTGGAAACAACTTTTAGAAAATTACAATCAAGTTGACTAGCTACTGCTCGTGCTAATAAAGTTTTTCCTGTGCCTAAAAATTTTCAAGGAATCTTACATACAGATAAATAAAATAAAATTCTATTTAACCTGGTGGACCAAATAGTAGACAACCCTTTGGTGGTGTTATACCAACACGTTGAAATAATTCTGGATTTGTTAATGGTAATTCTACGACCTGTGAAATCAATTAGTTTTTTTTAGAATCATTTCAAATGTTGTTTTAAATTTTTACTTCTCGTAATTCACGAATTTGCTCACTTAAACCACCAACTTCACTAAATGAAACATCTCCTGGATCTTCATGAGACATATTGTAAACTAATGGATCAACTTCTCGCGGTAAATACCTGAAAAAAAAGAAACCAAATAAGTATATTCGATAGAAGAAAAAAAATCTTAAATTATCATTACCTCATTACAGTCAAGGTTGTCATATCGAGAGCAACACGAGTGCCTGGACGTAATTTAGTCTTATCTAATTGACGACGACAACCAACAACATATCGGGGACCGTTTGTTGCTTTGACAATAACTAAAAAGTAAACACAACAGTATTTTTTTAAAATTTATTTATTCATTGTAGAATAAGCTTACATTTATCTTCAGTTAATTGTTTTAAAACTTCTCCAACGATCTAAAACTAAAACATTAGACAATTTTTAATGGATAGTTCCTATTTACTTGTCCGACACTTTGTAATGCTTTTAAATCGTTTTCACTTTTATCATATTCTTTTGTTAATGAACGAAGATCTTCACGCACTAGAAAAGCGAATAAAAATTCGAAGTGTTTTTTCTCGTTAATTTCTTCCATACTCTGTTTTAAACGAGCTTCAATTTCCTTATGTTCCATAATTTTCTTACGGAAATCTTCTAATGCCTTTTCACGCGGATTTACTGTTGAAACAGCTGGATTTGCTATTGTTGTTACCATTTTGAATTCAATTTAACACTATTTGAATATTCAATTCAACAATGAAAGTAGAAGTAGTGAGAAATAAATAACCAAATGAAGAACGAATGACTCAAGTAGTTTACTCTGTAAGCCAATTCATGAACTCGACATTTCTACTTAATAGAGGTCGCACTAGGGCGAGAAAATATTTCATTAGTGCCTATTGGCAATCGGCGCATTTGTTATCGCATGATTTTTATGCATATATGGAATACTTGAAGCTTTTCTTTTGCTTCGAAGCTGGGCAAACATGAAACTTGGTCTTTTTAGATTTCTCGTACACGTATATTCCTGTATTTCTAAAACATTTTAACGTCTTTCGACCCTCATTGAGTCATCGCATACTTAGTGAAAGTAAGTCAAGCGAGAGCGTATTTCCAATTGCTTGAATTCGTTTCAATGATTCAAGACCTATCGAATTTTCACTGCTTGAGTAGCAAGAGCAGTAGAAGTATAATTGTAGGTGCTGCAGTAGAAGCAAACATAACCGAATAACAGTTGATCGTGTGGTGAGTTTAACTTCGATTATATGACAATTTTCTAAACCAATGATATTTTATGAAATGTTTTTAATAAAATTAGTTTCTCTGTCTTAATTCCTTCGTTTGTGTACTGGAAGTCACATAGTTTTCTACGTGCTAAAGAATTTTCAAGATTTCCTAAGGTAGTATTTGGGTGTTGATGTGCACCAAAGTGACTGTGCTTTGTACCGTCAATAAAAAAGAATGCTCCCAGAAATGGCAACTAGGCACGAATCGTGTCACATGATCTATTACCACGCCACATCCCAATCCATATACACATCCAAACCAAATTTAGTCTGAGGATTCCATTGAAAACTGTTCCATTCGATAGAGAACGAAAGTCTAAATTTCACATAATATTTTTGAGACCGAGCATAAGCTAAATAGTGGATTCGGACGGGAGAATTTGCTAATGTGTACGAATACTGTAAAGATTTGTGTCAATTTTCGGAACTTTTCAGATTTGTTTATTTTGCTCATTATTGATATAGTCTCTTTCCATCTTGGGCAAAAATAATCCATCCTTGCATAGGTTGCTTTGGATGTAATTTCTTGTACTTCATTTTCGATATAAGAACATTCTATAGTCGGAATACTAGTTTTTGAACGTCTTTTGTGTTAGTTTTCCTATATAAGTACTAATCGAATGGAAATATGAAAATAAGGCAATGAAACGCAGCAGTTTCTGTACCCGAAAAGATTCTTCATCGAAGACAGCAGACCTAAAACTGCAGTAATGCACCTCGACGGAATCAGAATTCAAATAGTGGGTTTCATTTTCAAAGGTGTCTAATGTAAGAAAACCAGAAGCTTTTACTTTACAATTATTGAAGAATATTGGCTGTTAAGACCATCGCACTTATAAAAAGTGTCCGAGTGAGTCTTACCTTTCAGAGTCAGTTATAATTGTCTTGAACTGGCCCATATTCTAATCAAGATTTGTTTATTCAGCTTTTTGTGAGTTTGTGGAGAAGATATTCTTCAACAATTCAGAGCAGTTGATAGTAGACTTTGATTTCTATAAGAATATCCAAAATGTTGGAGTTTATAATAGAAAATTTTAACAATTCCAAGTAATAGTATTTTGCTGCCTTCAATCTACTAAAACTGAGTCTATGGGCTATTCCATTTCAAATTGAATTTAAAAAAAAGCTGCACTTTGCGCAACACCGAGGGTTTAGGGGATCCTAGAGCAGTTGTCAACAACTTGGGCACACGACAAGGAAGGCAATTTCTGCACCGAAATTTCACAATAATCTCTTCAGCTTTCACACTTCGCATGCACAAGCCACAGCGAAATCAGTCAGCCGAATTCCTGATAATCCGAAAGCAAGAAGTATTTAGTTCAATTCTCAATTCATGTATGTATAAGTCCCTCTATGGGTACGTTTTTTTTCAATGGGGGAACTTCAGTCTAAATGAAAAACGTTTTCTCAGAAACTGAAACCCCTTCAGAAACCATTTCGAAAACGTATAAACGTATCCGAAGACGTTTCCGCACCTAGGTTAAATTTGGAAAAATATCTTCTGTATTTCCGAATACCCGAAAACCTATGAGCTTTCAAAATTTAGGTCTGGAAACCCTCAACCGTATTCTCAGAAACCTTGGTGCTATTTGTAAAAATCACTTTTGATCTAAAAACCCTCTCGAAAACCTTTGAGTATCCGAACATATCTCGAAAAGTTTCAACAGTTTCCAAACATTCAGAAAACCCTTACGTTCCCGAAAAGACATTTTTGAAACTCATTCTGTGTTCTGAAGCACAGAAATAACATTGGGATATCTTCTTTTTAATGCTCATATTCCCATCGCTACTCTAGAGGTTTAGGAATTATTCGACATGCATGATATGAATCTTAGTCACTGTATACGCAGCTGTTGTATAAAACCATTAGGACTCTGAGAATTCAAAATATACTTAGTTTCGGAGAGTAGATCGACTTTTTTTGTACATCTTCCATTGCCTAGAAACTTGAATGGCTTCTACCAAATTATACTGGAACGACTGAAGAGCTGGACTTAATAGTCTGGTCATTAAAAGAATATCCCCTTTCTTCTTCTTCTTCTTTAACCATTTATGCTTCATCAAAGTATCGAAGTACAAGTATGATCATCCTTGCCAACAGATTACAACGGAATATAATGCAAGTTTAGGACATTTGAGCATTGATTTAACTGGTTTATACAGAAGAGTAATATACGTGGAATGATGAAAAAATGGTAGACACTTGCTCTTTCACACCGCAAGATATAGTTCCAAAAGTGATTCGTAAAAGGCGCGAAAAGAAATCGAAACACTAAAACTACACTTCAACGCTTACAAAACTAAAGACCACAAGAGTTCAAATGACATCAACATGATACTTTCGAAAGCATTAAGAATGCCAAACGTTAGACTATCTTATAGACTTTAGCTTCGATACACAAAGCTTTTCATCACTATAGCACTCTCTTTGACTACATGATTCTGAGCCCCACCTGATATCTCTTAATAACATTCACTAATTTCATGACACCGGTTTTGAAATATGCCAAGATTTCAATACACAATACAGACTTTACGACTCTTACTGAAAAACATAAAGACTCCACGAGTAAGACTGACCTCATGATTATAATTTTCACATACCGGAAGGCATAACGGCTAAGACTAACTTTTTCACTCATCACACCAATAAAACTGTCAACCAGGCTTTGATTATAAGAGGTAGGTAGAATGCAAATTTGAGACTAAATTAAGTACATTCTATTTAGAAGACAGCACAATTCTACCACTTTCCTCACGCAATGACCGGATATTTGAAAACGAAAGCACTTGAGGAATTTCATAAAGTTTCAAAAGATTTATCACTTTGACTGGCCCGTGTCTGCATCCTTGGCAGATGATTAGACATGAGGACTTCAGCTGACAATATGAATCTAGAACTAACAGCTATATACTCTTGAGGATTTTCAATAGTTTCCAACTGGTCGCTTTAATAGACATGGGTAAGGAAAAAATTCGACGCAAAATAATGAGTTAACGTCAAGGAAATCTCTTGACTGCTATACTAGGTATAAATGCTCACTAATATGAAACTGAAATCAACATAAATAAGTAATATTATAAGATTAAAACCAGGGGACAACTATATATTGAAGTATTAGAGTGGGAGTGGGATATATTTAAGAGATATTCTAAGAGGTTAGATCAAGACATCATTATGCAAGGATAGATCTAGAATAAGGGCATAGAAAAAAGGGACCGATAGATTAAGGGGTTAGAATAAGACCACAGACTTAGAAGATCGATATATATTAAGGGATTATTTATAGAGTAAGGGAATAGATTAAGGGATTATATATAGAGTAAGAGAATAGATTAAGGGATTAGATTAAGATTTTGAAATGAGAAGATAGACACAGTTTCGGGATTTCAATGAGTTGATGGAATATTGAGTTAGAATACGACGTCAGATATAGATTCATGAACCATTTTAGGGTAGTAGCCGGTAGAGTATCCCAGAGTTTTGAACTCTCGGAAACCTCTGCTGCGCCACTGGGATCAGGCTCTTTTTGATTAATTTTAAGGGTTTTCGAGGACTCAGAAACCCTTTCCCAGAAACCTTCTATAGGATTACCAGAAAATGGAGTTTTTTTAGAGTGTTGGGGGGGGGGGGCTTAGCTTGAAGTCAGTTGATTTCTGAACTCATATATGTATAAGTCTTCCTATGAGTGTGTTTTTTTCCGATGGGAGACTTCGTCTGGATTAGGTGTGTTTATGGGCTTCCAGAAAACTGTTTTTGCCACATTTCCTTAGGAACGAGACTGAATGGGAATAATGAACCTAATAGCCGCGATCAAGTGAATTAATAAACAAGTGAGGCGGATCAGTATCTGGATGCTGTTGATTCCTATCGGAGTGAGATGCAAACGGAAAGAATTCTGTCAGAACTTAGTCGCATCCCGCCGCATTTAGCATGAGAATCCGTGTGACTGAACTCCAGATTCTGACAATTTTAAATTAACCTGTGCTTACGTTAATTCAGGGCTAACAATCAGATGCTAACATTTGACACGATGCTACATGAGATCTAGCATCATGCTGTAAGATCCAAGGAAAAAATCCTACGAAAAGCTTAGTCTCTGAAATCTTGCATGAAATCCGACGATCAGATTCCTGGAAGATCTTACTGTGCCGTAAGATATGACTGGAATAGTATAGGGAATCAATTAGAATCTTGACATGTTTCAATAAGTCTCAATCAAACAATTAATCTGAGATTGCACAGACGATAATGTTTTGTGTGATGATATCTAGTATTAAAAGATCTTACGACTGATTTTCGGAACTGTGGCATAGGGATAACGCTTTATTTAGTATTTTATATCATACAATACCCCGTCTATGTCCGAAAGACAAATTTGTATTAGCAGCGAGGCTGGCTGAGGAGGAAAGCAAAATATGAACTAACAAAGGAGAGGAAACAGTTGCTGGCATAGAACGGACTCTTTGATTACGAATGCCGTTCCGCGAGTACGAGTATAATTACCAAATCTCCAATACCAGTAATAATGCGAGTGCATGTGTGACTCATGAATCACAAGCACTTACTAGCTTTCTTGTTTTCAAGCCTAAAAAATGAAGCAATAACAAAACTTTACTAATTACATTTAAGAAATCTCAGTAAACATACCTTTTTTTAAGTTAACGCGGAGCGATGATGCATTAAAAATCTACTTTGGGAAAGACTCTTACAAAAGAAGGTAATGCAACTGGTACCAACAAGTATTTCAGAACAAGTTCATCTAAATAAGGATAAAGACTTTTCGTGCGAAAAAGTAAATCGCTTTCATTACTTTTTCAGAGGTAAAAGCATGAAGTTCTACGAAACATTTTGCATTCTCATCAGAAGCAAGTATATTGATTTCATTCAAGTAAGGAAAAAGGCGTTTTCTTTTTGTTATTGGATCTACAGCTTGACTCAGCTAATGAAAAAGCAGCTTATTCAGTTGCCTTAGTTCATCATATCCCGGTTTTTGTAACAAAGAAAAAGTCTATTTTGAGAAAAGAAATAACCAAAAGGCGTATTCCTCTTTTCGGTACACAACTGTGCCTTAGCTTGGCGATTATCAAGCCATAAAACTTAGCATGCACATTTAGAACATCCGTAGCAACCAAAAGATGATGAGAAAAACGTTCACACCCAGGTCGAGCATTATGGCTACCAGAAACGGTCGTATACGGCCGTAAACGTAAACATATACTGCCGTTTCCTGCCGTTTCTCACCGTAAACGGCCGTAACTTGACGTTTTGGTATGCACCGTATTACGGCCGTAATTAATCGTGTCGTAAACGGTTACTAACGATCGTAATGTGATCGGATATTTCCGTATACGATCGTTTATGGCACGATACAAAACGATTGTAATACGGTGCATACCAAACGACCGTAAATTATGGTCAAACGGCCATGTACGACACAAGTTGATCGACCTGGGCATATAAAATAAGAATCAGCTGGTACGAAAATTTTGAACTAGCGTTAGCTTCATAATAAATATAGACATAAAAACATAAAAAGAAATGACAAATATAACGGAAGAAGTACGTAGAAAGTGCTAGCACGATGATGACTGACGAAATTAGTGTTGCTGCCGTAAGAGGGATGATTCCTATTGGAAAATATATAGTACTACAAGATAGGTGGACATTCTATTACAAACATGGTAATGAGACACCATGGTTGTATCATAACACATGCCCTGTGCATGCAATTAACCACTGAGTTTAAGGAACAACAAGCAATCACACTCGCCAAACAACCCCACAGTGGACTTCCAATATAACTCGGATGAATCAGAGACAAACTCCCTAAATCTAAAGGTGAAGTTCGGTCCTGGGTTATGCACAAAAACGACATATTACGGAAAGCTTTGACAAGTATTTATAACTCAAATCATATTCATTTCTGTGTACTGGGTAGAGGCAACTAAAAACCTATATTTAGAAATATTAGTATTAGCACTTCAGAAATAAGCAGGGCTAATATCTTGCAAGTCAAAGTGTGCAGAGAAATTTATTCTTGCTGCGCGTCATTCACATCTGAGAACTTAGAGTGCGTCTTTAGACGAGCGTGTTCGTCTTTCACAGCACCCACAACATAGACTGTAGCATGTGTGTAGACAAGCGTGTTTCCGGCGCTGAGTGCCCATGTGTGGATGTACGCATTATGCTGTTGAAGCAGGAGGTACGTCGTTTCTTACTCTTTCTTTCAGGAGTACTGGTCCAGTGTTGCACTGATTTTCGAGTTCTATTTGACAAGAGTGATTAGTTTTCATTGAGATTCGGTGATAGGAATCTTAGCGTTGCAGCAGGATGATTAGCGATAAAGAAAAATCCATGTCTCCATCGACAGGGAACTCGAATGCACTGGCTGCATCTGATTTAATGATATTATTTCGATACTGAATTTGTTGCCATATGAGGAATTCGATGCATCTCAAAATTGCTTTCTTTCTGGGAAATTCGTATGTTTTGGGAAAATTCGGCTGATTTTGGGAAATTTAGGATTCAGAAATCAACTGAATTCAAGCTAAATCCCCCCATCGAAAAGAAAACATACCCATAGGGGCACTTACACATATATGAATTCAGAATTCAGGCTTGAAATGAATTATTCGACAGATCCCCTAGTTCCTTATTTCTTTTTGAAATGAAGTGCTCTTTTTTTTTCAAATTCAGATTGAAATAATGTAACCCATTGTTTGCTAAAACTAGCTCCCAAACTAATTTCATGTACCATGTCGATACATATGCGTTAGAAACTTTTTTCAAATCACATCCACTCAACTAAATATATACTATTGTAGAGTCCTAGATACCCGCACAACCAGATATTCTTAACAATTCTCAATAGCATTGTGAATGAAATTTTTGTGTAATTTTTGCTACTCTAGAAACATTATTTAAGCGATGACGGCATCTAGCGAGCCTCAGCAAGAAATATCTTTATTTATGATGGCGGAGAGCGAAGCAATGCGTTTGATGAGCCGTTGTAGTCATATGGACGTATTCAAGAAAGTTCAAGAAGTTAAGTGTGATTTTGGAAATAAACAAAAGAAACTTCAACAAGCAATGTACTTGCATTCGGCTGGTAAGATACCTGATTTCGAAAATTTGTCATCTTCCACAAGATATGATTCTGAAATTGTCGAGCAGTACCTAGAAAAAGCCATTCTCTATCAAAATGCAGTTCAACTAATGGAAAAGCGTGAAGAGTTTGCTGTGATTGAAGATGACTTTGGACCAACGCTAGAAAAAATGATGAAAGAAGGGAAACAACCATCGTTTCAAAATCTAGTCGACGCTTGTCGCAAATACGACGACGAAATAGCTATCCGGATGCATGTTACTAAGAGCAACGTAACCCATCGATATTTTATCCAACGAGGAATTTCTGAAGATAATGCCAGAGCATATGCTTTTGCACTTGCATTTTATACAGGTGCATACAGTTGGGCAATGAGTATGGAAGCAAATGTTGTTGCCAGAAGATCATTGAAACAAGATCAGTTGAATTCAGAGGAGGCTAAAGTTGATAGTAACGCAGCCATGATTATGTATTATCTCATTAAAGGTCTGTCACACATTGCTTTCTATTGGGGTGTTGTGACAAGATATGTAGAATTGACAGACAAAGATTTACAGGATTATAAGCCTGGTGAAATTGTGACTTGGCTTCAGTTCAGCAGTTCGGACAAAGGTGGGAAAAATTTGCAATGGTTTCAGGAACGAAATACGATTCTCACTATATCTTCACTCACTGGTAGAAGCATAATAGATTTTTCGAATTGTGACCAAGAAGAAGATGAAGTTCTTTTTCTGCCTCATTCATCCTTTCTTGTATGTCAGGTGGTGTATGATGAAAAACACAGAAAAAATCAAATATATCTCAGACAGGTTAAGCCACTTCTTTTATTGATATTCTAATGAACACATTTACATATGATAGATCGAGCTGGGACTATGCCAATACGTAGTATTGTGGGTTGATGATAACATATTTGATGAAAAATGGGAAAATAAAAAACATATGGAACAAGCAAGTACATTAGGAACTCGAGTCAATGTCCACTTTATTCCTAAATCGAACACTGAATCAGCACTAGCGTTTCTACGTTCAGAATTCGGGCAACGACTCAAATACAGCAATACATTCCGCATTGTCACTGATATGAAGCGAGCGAACGAGAGTGATTCTAGCACAGCCGGTGCGCGACTAATATATAAAGTGCGCAAACTTGGTTTCACTCAATCTTGTCTTATATTCACTGGTCACGAAGAGTCAGCATATGAAAAATTAGAACAATTGTTCGGCAATAGAAAAATCGATGGAATCAAGGTCACCCAAAATCAATATGATCTGGAAGACTTTGTGATTTTTAATGGAAATTAAAATTCACATTATAGTAGATGATAGTATTGTTGTGTTCCCATTCCCAACTGAGTCCAGTTTCAATAAAGTTGATTTCTTCAATGTATGCATCATAATTGGCATCTGTTTTGTGGATACATTGATTGCTATTGAGTTTTTAAGAATAAAAACAAGATCTATTATAGATCTTATTGAAAATAAAACTCCAGCTGATTTCAACGTAATGATTTACTCTCAATATGGTAAATCAATGATCAGCTCGTGATCTCTTAAGAAAGTACTAGACTTTGCTGACAAAAAAAAACAAGTTCATATGTAAACTAAGCGAAATCTTATACCTTCGATGATTTGACAATACTCAATTGAATATGCAAAGACGTATTTGTTTTAAAACAAAAAGCTAAAAGGTATATAGTGAATAAGCATCCAGAAGGTTCTCAGGATGTTCTTTTATTGCAAGATATAGTGATAGATTGACATAACAGTTGTATTGGTTCATAAGTAAAAAACCAAAATATGAAGAAGTGAGTGAAATCAACTCAGATAGTTTTCTTTTGGAAATCTAAAAATAGATTTGTGTTTCGAATACAATTAGAGATGATGAAGTGATAAGATTTGCATTTTGTTGTTCTTGTTTCGAAGGCTATTTCAGTTGTTAATTTTATTAGTTATGGTGTCATTCATGTTTGAGAAGTCAAACATCTGCTAGCTATTCGGCTAGGCTTTGATTGTTACAGTAATAGATATGAGAATTTTCACACCTGTACTCCATCCATGTTACTGCTGCTTTGCTTGCATTATTATTATTTTAGACAAACTACTTTTGAAAAAGACAGAGAGAGCGAGAGAGACAGAAAATAATTCGACAATGAGGCGTATTACACTGTTTTGTTTAATCGTTCGTTGGGCTATTTGTATTAATTCAATTCCATTTGACGGAGTAATTCGCCCAACAGGTGATGGTAGTTCATATGCTTTTCTCAAACCACCGAAAGAGGGTAATCATGCAGCATTCATTGAACAATTGACACCAAGTGGTACTCTAGCTGTTGCGTGGTTTACCGGTGGTGAAGGAAGTCCAAATTGTTCCATTGCCTTATCACTTCTAGCTGTTGGATCAGAACAATTTACACCGGGTGTCATTGTTAGTCAGCGTGTCAATTATTCAAATCAAAATCCTGTTCTCTTTTGGAATCCTCGTACACAAATCCTACATCTATATCATTCTTCACAATTGGGGGATGGTCCTGAAAGTTCATCTGAACTATGGCATTTGCAAAGTCAAGATAGTGGTACATTTTTGTTCTCAACATAGATAAGTAGATCTATTGTATTTTCCATAGGTGCTACATGGTCTAATGCCAGCTCTTTTTATTCTATGCCAGGAGCATTCGATCGAAATCGTATCATACCTACGTTAGATGACAAAGGTGTCATATTTCCTTGTTACAATTCTTCGCCAACATACGATTATTCATTTGTACTTCGATCTACATCTGATGATTCAACATGGACATATATTAATATGACCAACAGTGTAGATTTGATTCAACCGTCTATCGTTCGTTTATACAATTCAACAAAGTTGCGGTCATTTTTTCGTGATGAAGATGCCAAATCTATTTATTATTCTGATAGCAACGATGATGGTTTTACTTGGACAATACCAGAACAAACAACTTTACCGAATAATAATGCTGGTATTCATGCAAATATACTAAAAACTGGTGCTGTTATTATGGTATTTAATAATCACAATGGAACTCATCTGCCAAGAACACCGCTAACAGTAGCTCTTTCCTATGACAATGGAATGACATGGCCCTATCAAAGAAATATTCAAGTTCACGACGATGGGAATAGTACATCTGTCGGTGAATATTCTTATCCAGGAATATTACAAAGTTTTTGGACTGGCAGAGATGATAATGATATTCATCTTGTGTTTACCTATGATCGGCAAACAATTAAATATGTCCGTTTTAATGAAAATTGGATTAAGCGAAGCTAATCCATATTCTAGTAAACATTTTGTTTTATGTTAGTCAATTATTGACGAAGTAAATTTAGAATTTAAAAATAATAAATGCGGAAACATGGGATTTGCATCCGATTATTATGTGTACTTCAAAAAGCGAAAATTTACATCCATTTTTTTCTATAAGGCATAGATCTCATCAAGATACATCCCTTCTCGCTAAATTACAAGGAGAAAATACAGGCGTGCTAAGCTAGCATGGACCACACTGTATGCAACTCTATCCAGTGATCACTGACTCTACTCTCAGCGTGATATAATATCTTTAGAGATCACAGAAATTGAGCTCAGATTCGTGTTCAGCTTCGAAAACTGGATAAGAACAGTTATTTTTGAATGGTTTTGTGTTTGTATCTAGCAGGATTACGATCGTAAGCAACCTCATGAATTTATAAGAGATATAT